CCTCCACATGTGTTGTGGAGGCACCCAAATACACACATTCAAGAAATAAAAAAAATTTAAAGCATGACAGATATACCATGGTTTGAATGAAAATGGGTTCATATGTTTGAGCACTTGGTCCCTAGTTGGTGAAAGTGTTTAGGAAGGATTAGGAGGTGTGTCAGTGGGGGTGGACTTGGGGGTTTTAAAAGCCCATCAGACAGGTGGGCTGTCTGTCTGACCGACTGTCTGAATCTCTTCTTCCTCTCTCTCCTCCCTCCCCACCCTGCCTTCTGCCTGTGGATCAGGATGAACGTTCTCAACTACTGCTCCAGTGCCATGTCTGCCTGTCTCTCAACTACTGCTCCAGTGCCACGTCTGCCTGTCATCCCACTCCCTGACATGAGGGTCAGGGACTCACCCTCTGAAATTGTAATCAAGCCCCCAATCAAATGCCTTTTTCATCATGTTGTCTTGGTCATGGTGTTTCTTCGTAGCAATAGAACAGTAACTAAGACATTATACAATGAAATTTTACATAGCTGTAAACAAAAAATTAATCTTGAAGGAAAATGGAATGAGCTAGAAAATATATTAAGCAAAATGACCCAAACTCAAAAAGACAACCACCACATGTTCTCTGTTATGACTACATGGATATAAACAAGGATAAAGGCCCCAAAAGGACAGAGATCAAAACTGGGTAAAAAAGAAGTGCTAAGGAAAGCCAGAATATACACTTGCAACATGAAAGTAGAAGAGGGTAATCCAAGAAGAGACAGGACAGGGGAGGAGGACAGAGTTGAGAATCAAAGGAAACACACTTTGTTTTAAAATTCCATTATGAGCTTATTTTTTAAGTCAAAAAAAGAAAGCCATTATGGTGCCTAACACTTTGGATGCCAATCTAAAAGATAAAATTTGGTGCTAGAGAGATAACTCAGTGGTTAAAAACGCTTGTTGTTCTTCCTGAAGACCTAAGTTTGGTTCCCATCATCCACATCAGGTAACTCGAAACCATAACACCAGTTCCAGGGGATCTGATGCCCTCTTCTGACCTCTATGGGAAATACACATGTGTAGTGCATAGACATACAGCAGGACAAATCATTCATACACATAAAAACAACTTTAGTTTTTTATTATTTTATTTATGTGTATGGGTGTTTTTCTTGCATGGGTTTCAGTGCATCACATATAAGCCTGATGTCCAAAGGCCAGAAGAGAGCCCAGACCCCCTGGTACTGGATTCACAGCCAGTTTCCTGCCATGTGAGTGCTGGGAATCAAATCTGCTAAGAACAGTCAGTGCTCTTAACTGCTGAGCCATCTCTGCAGACCCCAAAATAAATATTTTAAGTTTTTTAATTAAATTAAGAAAATATATAGTTCTGGTTAGTCTATCTCAGTCTCCAAAACTTTCATCCAAGTTGGTCTAGCCTCTGAGCTAGCCTCAGTATATTTTTTAAATATTATTAATGTTCTCCTAGAATGTATTATCTTTGACTTGAGCACCTACGATCTCAGCAAAGGATACCAGAAAAGGTCTCTAAATCAAAAGTAGTATCAAGTTACTATAACTTACTGCAAATTATCCTCTGTGACCTTGTAAAAAGAGAAAAACTGTCTAACATGCCAAGATGATAATCTATAGTTGTTCAAATGGCCATGAACAAAACAAGGGGGTAAAAAGGAGCAATTGTCTATCTATTTCTTATTGTGTTAATAGTAACAGATGAGTCTAACCAAAGCTCCAGGGTGACTTTGTGGTAACATGGGTGGCTTGGTACTAGTCACTCCAGTCCCTACATTTTGAAAATCTTCTATGTACCTTAAGAGTACTTCAGATAAACCAGGCAGTGGTGGCACTCGCCTTTAATCCCAGCACTTGGGAGGCAGAGGCAGGAGGATCTCTGAGTTCAAGGTCAGCCTAGTCAACAAGTTGAGTCCCAGGGCAGCCAGAGCTACACAGAATCCATGTCTAGAACCCCTCCCCTCCAAAAAAGAGTCCTTTGGATCATGGAGAGACACGTTGTACCTCTTTGTCAACTGGCTTCTAAGACTTCTTAGGCCACTAAAGGTTCAATGATGGTTCCCCAATAGAACAGGCAAGGTGAAGCAGTTCACATCTACAATCTCAGTACTTGCAGAACTAACACAAGAATCTTGCATTGAGTTCAAAGCCATCTTGGCTACACAGTGAATTTCAGACTATCCCCAAGGGAAAAAAAAGAAAGAAAAAGAAACATACAAACCAGAAAGTTATTTGCCTTAACATCAAACCTTTAAGCAGATTAATCTTGAACTGAATTTAACTAGTATTGAGCATATACATTCAACGGCCAAGTGTGTAAATGTGAAGGAATTTTTCTATTACATTTGTAGGTGAAAAAAAGCAATTCCATAGCTATCCTCTCCTTCCTCTCCTACTTCAAGAGATGACTAAATGTAAAGAGTGCATCAACTAATAGACATTGCACTTCACAATCAAGGGCGTTAGTGAAGAGAGGAGAGGCACCAAGGCAATCAGTCTCTTGATAAAAGCAGAGAGAGACAGAACTGGAGGGGAGGGTTTATCATGAGCGAGACAGAACTGAAAGAGGAGGGTTTATCATGAGCGAGAGAGACAAAACTGGAAGGGAGGGTCTATCATGAGTGACTTCCCAGAGTAATATTCAAATGTATGGGAAGGACTAAACTTAGCTAGCAGAGTCATTTTAAAAGAAACAAGGCTCAACTGGCAAGCCTGCCAGCTGAGTTCCATCTCCAGAACCCAGAACCCACAATGGAAGTGAAAACTGACTCCTGTAAGCTGTCCTTTCAACTCCACACATACATGATGGTATACACACACCGGCACTCATACACATACACACAAACACACACTAACCAAAGTAAAGATAATAAACAAGGTTATGAGTTATACTAAAAATAATAATAATACTTAATATAAAGGTGGAGAATGATTGAGGAAGACACCAGTTGACCTCTGGAATTCACCCTTCCAAAGTGTTCAGAAATTTAGTTTAAATCTTAATTAAAGTTAAATGTAGTTCTCTTAGTTGCTACCACATCTTGTGGTCCAATTCCTTATTCGGCGGGTTATAGGGCTTTGTGATTCAAATTTGAAAAATCAATACAGGCAACTGCTCTCCTTCTTAGCTCTCTCTCTCCCTCTCTGTCTCTGTCTCTGTCTCTGTCTCTGTCTCTCTCTCTCTCTCTCTCTCACACACACACACACACACTTCACAGGCAACTGCTCTCCTTCTTAGCTCTCTCTCTCCCTCTCTGTCTCTGTCTCTGTCTCTCTCTCTCTCTCTCTCTCTCTCTCTCTCTCTCTCTCACACACACACACACACACACACACACAAACTTCACAGGCAACTGCTCTCCTTCTTAGCTCTCTCTTTCCCTCTCTGTCTCTGTCTCTGTCTCTCTCTCTCTCTCTCTCTCACACACACACACACACAAACTTCACAGGCAACTGCTCTCTTTAGCTCTCTCTCTCTCTCTCTCTCACACACACACACACACACACACACACACACTTCACAGGCAACTGCTCTCCTTCCTAGCTTTTCGCACACACAACTTCTATTGGTTTCCGTTTCCTCCTCTGTAAAGTGGGAATTGCATTATTAGCAACTACACCCATTGCAGAAGAACATTACCTACTGGGACTTACATGAGGGAAGACAGGTGAAACCATTTTTAAACAGCAAAACACTATATAAATACTGATTGCTATATATAAATACTTCAAGTGATGCACTGAGTAATATAGGATGAGAGAATTTTCCTCCACATGAAAGAGCAATGATAACAATTTTAAGCTATTTGATAAATATATTTAAGGAGGGGTCTTAACACAAACTTGAATTATTATTTAAAAGTGGATTCTTCTGTGAACACATTCACTTTGTACAGAAAGAAAAAGGAAAAGAAGAAAGAGAGCTGGGGATGGACTTTGTTGGTGGAGTTCCTGCTTAGCATGCTCAGGCCCTGGGCTTCATCCTCAGTACTTCAAAGACTGGGCAGTGCCAGCACTGGGGACATAGAGACAGAAGGCTCTCAAGTTTAAGGCCATCCTCAGCTACATGGAGCGCTCTAAGTCAACCTGAACTACATGAGATTCTGTGTTCAAAGGGGAAGAAAGGAAGAAGGAAGGAGAGTGGGTGCCCAACTCTCAGCTCACCAAAATAACTAATGAAGTTCAACTGGGGAGAGGGGGTGGAGCCATGACAGTCAGTATACAGAGAATATTGTTGCACAAGTGAGAGAAATCAAGGCGCTATTACCAAACTCTCAGATTACCTGCAATCCATATATATAGATATAGTCTTTCTTTTTTTTTTAAGATAGTCATTTCTACAGAGGGCTTCAGAAATTGGAAGTCTATTCCATAAGTACCAGACAGAAATGATTCTGTCCCTGACAGAAGTGGCACTGCTGCAAAGAAATTAAGACACCCATAACAATGAGGTCAAGGGTGCTCTAAGGGTGGCCTGGAGAAGGCACAAACAACACATCAGCAAAACAAGTGTCGTTTCAGAAGAGCTGCCTGTCAATCCGCTACTGGGATTTTTCTTTAACTGGCCAAAGGCATTTTGATAACTGGGCCCACACAAATAGAAAGCTGAATTTCTGAAAGGGTATCAGACTAATGACACTAAGTGTATGCATGAGTGACAGGACCGTACAGGCACAAGACAGAAGAAAAAGATGACTAATCATCAGAGATAACACCAAGGACCCCATGACAACCCAAGTAGGTGGAGGGAAATACAAACACTGACCAGTCACCCGGGTGACACCTGTCCTTCAGGTAAAGACACTAACCCTAGGGTCGGAAAAAGACTTGCTGAGTGGAAGGAGGTGGCCAAGAATGTACGTGAGTTGGCTAAAGTGCCATGGGCTTTGCAAGTGGGCTCAACGGTGACACTAATAATACTTTTGGTGAGGTCGTCGAAGCGTCACAGGCTTGCAGGCAAAAGACCCACCCGACCGAAAGGGGAGTCCTACCTGGTGCAGGGCTGTCAAGCCGTCCACGTTGACCGTGTTGATGTCCGCACCCCTTGCCAGAAGCTTTTTCACCTCGTCCGTATCCCCGCTGGAGCAGGCAGCCAGAAAGACCGCACCATCCTCGAAGCGGACCCTGGGGCTCCCGCGTCGTGTCTGCAGCTGCCGCCCCGTGCTCTGTCGCTCCACGGGCTCCTGCTCTGTCAGCGAGCCCCGCCAGCGCCGCAGCTGCTCAGCTCGCCGCGCTCGCGCCGACTCTGCCCGCTTCCCTCCCAGGTGCTCCAGCTCCGCCATGGCTCTAGCCTCCGCAGCTGCTGCCAAAACTACCACCACCAGAATGCTGGTAGCCTTGTGTGGCCGCCGCCGCCTCCGTCGGAGGGCTTCAGCCGGGTAATGAAGGCGGAGGATCCCGCACCGCCATCTTTACTCCTCCAGCCACTAGCACCGCCCACACGTTCCTTTTAGCTTCAGCACGCAGGCGCTACTCCAGCCCCGTGTCATCACGGGACTTGTAGTAAGAGACCTGCTCTAAAGGCACGCTGTGACCCTATGGGAACTACATATCCCTACATGCGTTAGAAATCAGTCAAGGACAAGATGCACCCTTCTCTGCTGCTGGACCTAGCCCAGCCACCTTTGCCCCTAGCTTCAACTGCCCCGACCAGTGGCAACCTCTTTCTCTAGGCATTTTGGGAATCGTAGTTTTTTATTGTTTTGACCACCAAACTTAGCTCATCTTAATTATCCCTTAACACTTGAAGAGTAAAAAAGCAGCAGTAATTAACCTTATTTTCTAGAAGGTAGAACTAAACATAAAGTACCAGAAGAACTAGAATTCACGTACTGGTTTTACATCTAGTTTTATTAACATGTACTAGCTGTGAATGTGCATGGGTAAAAGCATTCATACGCATACATTACTACAGTTTTACATAAAGTATTTTCAATACGACATTTGTTCCAGATCCATAAAGATTCCTGAAATTTTTCATCAAAAATCTGAAAATATTAGATCATTATAAAGGGAAGTTGTGTTACATATGAACACTTGCCCATTTGTCATTTTCTACTGGAATAAACTAGGAATCATATGTTGAAGAAATAAGCTGGTCTAAGAGGTTCACACCTGTAACACCAGCACCAGGAAGGCTGACATATGATTGCCAGGAGTTTTAGGGCAGCCTGGACTATATAGTTCATTTATTGCCAGCCTGGGCTACAGAACGAGACCTTGTCTCAAATTTACTTCCCTCCAAACAAAACAAAAAAGAGGGGAGAGAAGAAAAATGGGAGGGAGGAAGGGAAGGAGAAGGCAGAGATAAGGAAGGAAGCAGAGAGTAGTGCTGACTTGTCCTCTCAGCTCTTGGTAGGTTCAGGCAGAGTATAAATTCAAGGTCATCCTTTGCTTCCTAAGCAGCCCAGGCCAGCTTGGACTATATGACACTTTATCTCAATAAAACAAAAACTTTTTTTTAAAGTAGTGATATTTTCATGGTAATTTGTCAACATGGAACCTCATCTTGTTGATAATTTAAATTGTCCAAAGTTCCTAAATAGAACTCTACCTAAAGAATAAAAGAGAAATTAATATCAAAATAAGGTAGGAGTGACTTATCCAGACCCCCTAAATTTGGGTGTCAGTGAGGAGGCCTTGGCAATCTATGGGACCTCAGGTAGTAGATCAGTATTTATCCCTGGCATACGAATGGACTTTGGGAGCCCATTCCATGTGGAAGAATACTCTCTCAGTTTGGACACACAGCAGAGGGCCTAGGCTCTGCCTAGGATGATAAGACAGACTTTGGAGATTCCCTATGGAAGGCCTCACCCTCCCTGGAGAGCTGAGTGGGGATTGGGTCGGGGGTTGGTGGGGTTGGTGGGTGGCATGGGATGAGGGGAGGGAGAGGGAGCTGGGATTGACATGTAAGTACAAAAAAAAATAAGGTAGGAGCTGGCATAATGACACTCACCTATAATCTTAGAAAATCGAAGGATCTGAATCCAACCTAAGCTAAGGAAGGAAACTGTCTCAAATACAAACAGGTAAATCAGGAAAGATTACTTAACAATCAGTTAAACTCTCTTTGCAGTCCTCCTGCACTATTTAAATATTATGTTCCTAGCAAATGACAGCTACTCAGCTTTGTATTTCACTATCCTTTTATATTTTACCAACACACTGGTTTCTAGTAAGAACTTTAAAGGTGAGATAAAGTTTCCAGGGACCAATAATGTTATGTCATATGGGACTGTATTCTGTTTTGTTTTGTCTGATATGGAGTCTCATTTGCTCAGCCTGGTTGAAAATAAATGTGGAATCCTGATTCTTCTGACTCTTTGGGCTATGTTCTCTCTCTCTCTCTCTCTCTCTCTCTCTCTCTCTCTCTCTCTCTCTCTCTCCCTCCCTCCCTCCCTCCCCCTTCCTCCCCCCCTCTCTCCCTTCCTCTCTCCATCCCTCTCTGTCTCTATCTCTCTCTTCTTACATTCTTTTTTTTTTGGTTTTTCAAGACAGGGTTTCTCTGTAACTTTGGACCCTGTCCTGGAACTCGCTCAGTAGACCAGGTTGTCCTTTAACTCACAGAGATCCTCCTGTCTCTGCTGCCCAACTGGGATTAAAGGCGAGCATCGCTGCTGCCACCACCCAGCTACATTCTTTTTTTTAATTATTATTTTTTTTGAGGCAGGTTCAAGTTGTCAAGAAACCAGGCTGGCTTCAAACCCATGGTTTTCCTCCTGCCCCAACCTCCCAGGTACCAGGAATGTATATGCTTACATTTCAAAAGGAACTCAGGTTTGGGGCCCGGAATGTACCTGAGTTCATAGAATGATTGCCTGGCACGTACAAAGTCCTGCACTGTATAAACCAGGTATGGTCACAAACATTTGCCTATAACTCCAGCACTTGCGAAGTGGGGGCAAATGAGTCAGAAGTTCAAAGCTATCTTTTTGTAGGGGATTTGAGGTCAACTTTGGGCAAAAAGAGACCCTGTCTCATAAATAAATAAGTCTAAATGGTAGGAGGTTCCAGAAAACAGGAGGAATACTGTATACTACTTTCTAACTATAACTATTGTGTTTGCTGGTTTTCTTTTTTCTTGTGAAGGTAATCGTATAACACTTCCTTTGGAGACTTTTACAGAAAGCAGCAAAGGTTTAATTCCTTAAATAATAAAATGCATACCTACCTAATCAGAAAGAAATTGTAACAGGGCCCCAGACCTTAGCACACCTGATTCCAGGATGGAAGTTCCATTCAGGCTGTAAAACTTAGCACACAGCCAGTATCATCTGACAAAACTAAAACCAAGACCTAATCCATCAAAATCCATAGTTTGGGGAAAGCCTCTAAGTGCTCTGGCATCTGAAGTTCTACTTCTGGCTAACTGTTCTTCTTAACTGAAGTATGTCAACCCAGAACATGGTTTTTGTGCTTAAAAACTCACCATGAAAAAGACTCAGTGCTACCCTGGGATTCCGAATACCCAGTGTAGTAAAAGACCAGCTGGCTAATAAAGACTGTCCATTGGCTTAAACCCATGTCTGGGCGCTCTTCTCAGATGACTACTTCACAACGTATCATCCGGCTATGTGATTACTAAAAGTAATAATAGTTATTAATATCTTAAATAGTTTAACTACATCAGTCAAAATTATATCACAAAACATCCATCCTCCTATGACTTGAAAAGTTTTTGTTCTTTAAAATTAAAGCTACGTTTTCCCCCCAAAGCTTCTTCACCCAACCAAAACCCGCTTAACTTATACTGTCAGCTCATTAAACAAGTCTGTTAGCTTAAGTTTCCTAAATAAATACTCTTTAAAAAATACTTTAAAGATTTATCTATTTATCTGCCTGCATGTCTGCACACAAGTGTATGCAAATACACACCACGGCCAGAAGAGGGCATCAATTCCCCGGGCCCTGGACCCCAGCTTAATAAATAAGTGCCAGGATCTGATCTCAGGTCTTCAAAATTGAATAGCAAGTGCTTTCCACTGCCAAGACAACTCCAGCTCCCCCCCAAAAAAATTGTAACTACAAGTTAAGTCTAAACAAACAATCCTGTGTACAAATAAAACATAATTTTTATATTTTCAAAGTAACTGGTCCTGGAAAATGATTCAGTGGGTAAGAGTGCTTGTTTTGCAAGCAGGAGGACCTGAGTTCAAGTCCCCCAGCACCGACATAAAAAGCTAAGCACAGCTGATTGCATCTATAACCCCAGCATCGAGGAAAACATGGTGAGTCTCAAGAGTTGGCAGGCCAGCCAACAGAGATGTGCTCCTGCTTCTGTGAGAGACCCTGTCTCCAGGCAATAAGGTGTAGAAAATAGTGAAAGACCCCAACACCCTGAGCCCCACATGAGCTACGTGGGTACACATACTTACCTGCACACTTGAATGTATCACATATATACACCACACCCTCATACCACATGGCACACTTATTCGCTAATAAATATAACTGGTCCAACTCAGATGTCACTGTGTAAAACAAATGCTTTTTATCAAGTAATAATTTTACACATCCACACTTTAATTGTAATATTAGAGCACTCTGATTTTAAAAAATAATGACATGCTGGCCACTGGGCACATGCTTGTAATCTTAACACTTAGAAAATAGAGGCAGGAGGATCAGGAGTTAAAATCTAGCCTTGGCTACATAATGAATTTGGGGCCATCTTGAGCTATATGGGACCCTGCCTCAAATAAACAAAACAAAATAGTGATAATACCTAGATAGGAGGATTGTTGTGAGTTTTGGGCCTGAAATTCAGAACAAGGCCCTTGCCTCAAAAATCCTAAATTAGGACCGGGTGTGATAGCACATGCCTTTAAACCCAGAACTTGGTAGGCAAAGGCAGGTAGTCAGATCTGTATGAGTTGTCTAAATATCTAGCCGCAGGCCAACCAGATTCATAGTGAGAATCTGTATCATAAAAAAATCCTAAACTTATTAAATAAGAAAAAATAACATTTAGGGCAATCTTTCTGGTCTATATCCCATCAGTAGCATACCTCCCTCTGGTGGTCAAATGGAAACTGTATGCCTAGGATGGCGCCCTTTCTGTCTTCCTTCATTTCCTTTGTCCAAACTACAGTTGATTCTTCTCACCAAACTCAATACAGTTGTGACTTTTCTAAGAGACACTTTTTATTCTGTTTTTCAGAGAACCATCTAAGGAAGGTTCAATTTCAGCTCTGAAGGTGGAACTAATTGACATACAATCACTGTTGGAATAGGAAGAATAAGATGTCGAAAGGATTAAACAGCAGGAAATGCCAGTAGTAAAACAAGCAGTAACTCCAAAATGGTAGTAGAAAACACTTCACTGCAATGAGTAAATCCTAACCATAAATGTAGAACCTTAAAAATGAGGTTATACTATTGCATGGTTCTTTCTAGTTCATAATTTTACAACTTGCATAATTCATTAGCTAGTCACTAGTTCAGTCCTACAACTAGTGGGGACGCCCAGAAGAGAATCATAATCAGATTTGAGTGAATTTGAGGGTCTTCACAAGACAAAACACACCATGCAACAAAACACACCAACCTTCATGAGAATCAGTTGCTGCTTAACATCAGTTTGGAAAAAATACAGAAATCACTGCAGTAGCCAAAGTTATATTGGCTTAGAAGTTGAGAAAGAGATGGATTGCTATTTCTATGCCAACACTGCTCTGCAGCTGCACAATAATCTAGGAGCAGTGAAAGAGGAAGGATAAATGGTTGGTTGATTTGGGGTCCTACCCCCAAGGATCCCATGTTCTTAGTCGAATTCCAGCCCTGCAGAGTCTCAGGTCTTGAGGTGCCCTTCCCAGCTGTGTAGTAACTTGGCTATAAGCACATACTTCCTTGTTCAGGAAATATTACCTTTCTAGAGTTGGAAAAGCGCTTAAAAGTCACTTATTGGGGTTGGGAGGATGGCTCAGTGGTTAAGAGCCCTGGTTGCTCTTCCAATGGACCCACATGGCAGCTCACCGCTATCTCTAACTCCTGTCCCAGGGGATTTAACGCTGTCACACAGACACACATACAGGCCAAACATCAATGCACATAAAATAAATTAACTAATTAAAAACAACCTGTCCAATTTTTTTTAAAAAAGGCATTTATTTCAGGGCAGGAGTGTGACTGAGGGATCAAAAGTTGTCACAGTATGTAGGAAGAGCTGGGTTTGATTTTCAGCACAGTGAAGGGGGAGGGGAAAGGCCAGTCATCCTACTAAGCGCCCATGTAATGCAAAGGATCACTTTTGCACTACCCCTAACTTGTTCAGCTTCCATTTGAACACTTCCAATGGTGAAGAAATCCACTCTGACCACTTTATTCTTCAGAGTCCAGGTGGAATGCTTTGTCCAGCAGAATTATAGGTTAGAAATACATTTTCTTTTTCCCAGCTGGAGGAAATCTATGTAGCAAGGGTCTCAAATATTCTATCATCTTATCTCAATATGCATATGCCACCATGTTTGGCTTTTATCTTTCAACTATTGGTCTTAAAACCTTGGGCAACGTGGGGCGCGCCTAATTCCAGGCTGAGATAGTGCCAGGAGTTCTAGGCTAGCCTGAGCTGCATAGCAAGTTCGAAGCTAAGAAGGGCTGCATTGCAAGACCCCGTCTCAAAGAACCGAAACAAAGAAATAAAGACAGCTATTCAGCAGTCATTTCTCCAGATTAAATTTGTCCCATTGCCGCCGGTGGGGCGTGTGGTGGTGGTGATGGTGGCACACGCCTTTAATCCCCAGCACTCGGAAGGCTGAGGCTGGGGGATCTCAGTGAGTTCGAGGCCAACCACCGGGCGGTCTACAGAGTCAGTTCCAGGACAGTCTCCGAAGCTACACAGAAAAACTCTATCTCGAAAAACAAAAGACAAACAAGGTGTGCCCAGACGCTCTCTCATTTTCTCTGCTGTGGGAGACTTCCAAGTATGCAGACAGCGGGGACAGCGGATTCCAGGTACGGGTGCTCGCGCGCGCCAATTTGAACCTAGAGTGAGCGGGCGCACGCTCTGAGCGCTGGCCAATAGGCGTGCGCGCGCCTCTCCCGGGATTGCTGCGGCCAGTCACAGACATTTCTTGGGCGAGGGTGGAGTCATTTCAACGGTCTCCGGGATCTGCTTGGACCCAGCAGACCGCGGCGGCAAGCGGAGCTGCTGAGGAGTGCTGAGGGGCCACCAGCGAGAACGTCCCCGAGGTCGCGGTGAGTCTGGGGAAGGACTCCGGTTTCTCCCCGAGCTGACCGGGGAGGAACACCGCGCGCGGGAAGAGAGAACCGCCCTGTGCGCGCCAAGGCTGCGTCTCCGTCCTCCCTCCAGCGTCTGCCACCTACTCGGGTTCTGTTCGCTGATTGTTTACCGTAGCCCTGGGGGACAAAACAAAACGCCAGCGCTCCGTAATCTGAGGCGAATCCGTCGTACAGGCTGCAAATAGAAAGGTGCACGGAGGGTGGAAAGACTGGGAACTGCCCTTTAATGTGGACGCACACGTAGGTGTGAAGGGATTGTGTGACTAGTCAGTGCAGTGTAAGCATACGTTTTTGGAAAGTAATTAATGGGGAAAGGGCTAAAAGCACTGCATAAGAAATTAAGACACCCGTTGGAGCTAGATTGTAAGGAACTTTTTGTTAGGTTGTTTGGTTGAGAGTTTTGTTTTTGCGACAGGTGTCGCTGTAACCCAGGCTGGCCTGCACTAGACTTCCTGCCCAGGCGCCTCCGGTGTCGATGCCATCAAGCCCCGACTCTGTAAAGAACCTTTATATTCAGTAAACACGCGGTAACAGATGGCTTTTAAGCCAAATAACTTTTTGAAGAATTTATTTACTTTTATTTCGTGTGTATGAGTGTTTGTCTGCATGTATGTATGTGCACCAAGTGTATGTCAGGTGCTCACCAAAGCCAGAAGAGGGTGTTGGATCTCCTAGAACTAGAGTTACTGATAGTTAAGAGCTGTCATGTTGGTGCTGGGAATTGAACCTGGGTCCTCTGGAAGAGCAGTCAATGCTCATAACAGATAAACCATCTCTCCAGCCCCCAGAGGACTTTATGGATACCAGATATATTAACATAAAGAGTCTGGTTGCTTCTTTGGGAGAATTTGCACTTTTTTTTTTCTAACCCAATTAGCATGTTTCTCCATTGTGTTCTTGTTTTTTTATGCAAAGATATAGTTTATAATTGTAGATAGGGTTTTATTGCAATTAATTGTCAAAAGACAACTTCGAGGAGACTGTTTTCTCCTACTGTGGCCTACTGGGATTGAAATCAAGTTGTCAGGCCTATGCAGCAAACGCCTTTACCCACTGACCTGTTTTGCCAGTCTCCCGTATTTGGAAGGTTTTTGTTTTGCTTTACTGAAAATAATTCTTCACATTTACTGTATAAAATAGCAATGCTTCATCGGCCTTAAAGAAAATGATAGAGGCTGGACATGGTTGCACACGCCTTTAATCCCAGCACTCAGAGACAGGCCAGTCTCTGAGTTTGAGGCCAGCCTGGTCTACAAATCAAGTTCCAGGACAGCCAGGGCCACAAAGAGAAACCCTGTCTTGAAAGAAAGAAGGAAAGAAAGAAAGGAAGAGGGAGAGAGAGAGAGAAAGAGAGAGAGTGAGTGGTGCCACATGCCTTTACTCTGAGCACTCCAGAGACAGTGACAGCAGGCAGGTCCCTGTTAGTTCAAGACCAGCCTGGTCTTCAAAGGGCGTTCCAGGACAGCCAGGGATACACAGACAAACTCTGTCTCAAAAAACAAACAAACAGCCGGGCGCACTTTAATCCCAGCACTCGGGAGGCAGAGGCAGGCGGATCTCTGTGAGTTCGAGGCCAGCCTGGTCTACAAAGTGAGTTCCAGGACAGCCTCCAAAGCTACAGAGAAACCCTGTCTCAAAAAACAAAAAAAAAAAAGAAAGAAAGAAAATATTAATTAGCGGACTTCATGTAGGCTGGGGTAGGAAAATCACAGGTTTAAAGTCTTACTAGAGTAAACTCAAAGTCAACCTGGGCAACTAAGGGAGACCTATCTCAAAATAAAAAAAATTTTTTAAAAGGTTGAGGTAAAACTTATGAACTCTTGGTTCAGTTCCCAGTACTGCAAGGAAAAGAAAGATGTCTTCATCTAACTTGCAGCAAAATAAGCTATAACTTTTGAGATTATATTTGTAATGTACATCAAAATAATAGTGTCCTTTAGTTGGTTACTAGCTGAGTGGGTGTGCTTGTGGGTGTTATTTTAGATGAAAGACTTTGTTTTTTTTTTTTAAGACAGGGTTTCTCTGTTTAGCTTTGGAGTCTGTCCTGAAACTCGCTTTGTAGACCAGGCTGGCCTTGAACTCGCAGATATCCACCTGCCTCTACCTCCCTAGTGCTGGGATTAAAGGTGTGGGCCAGCACCACCCAGCCAGGTGAGAGACTTTGAACCTATTTGGATGTTGATGACAGAGACAGAAAGATTAGGAATACTAGAGTGAGATGGGTTAATAATACACAGAGAGAATGTCAGATACTAACACTAACTTACAAGTGTCTGCGAATGTTGGCTGCATTGTTCTTGCTTTCACAAAGCATATGGACTGTGCACAGTTGCCCAGCCCCTCTCTGCCTGGACATGCTCTGGATGCATTGGAGAACAGAATTGGATCTAGGCTCCATCCTCATGACTTGATACTTTGTTAATGGAAGCAGACATTTCATTTGAAATTTTTTGAATTACTATTATTTGTAAAGGTTCATGCAGAAATGGGAAAAAAGTCAAGGCTGCCTTTGTCACAAGAGAGCCAGAAGAATCTGTTCCTCACTAAATTGAAGCTGTGCTGAAATGCTGGTCATTGTGCCTATCTCATGGATGCTTCTTTTCTTCTCAGTGAACTGTTTATGGTTCCTTTTACTTGAGATCATGCAGAGAGCGTCACGCCTGAAGAAAGAACTGCACATGTTAGCCGTAGAACCTCCCCCAGGGATCACGTGCTGGCAGGAAAAGGACCGAGTGGATGACTTGCGAGCTCGTAGGTATCCCATCATGCCTGAGGTGATGGTTGTAGCCTTATTGGAGATTGTCCTAAAATTCCCATGGTAAGGTGAAGGAGCCCTGCCATGTTTCTCTCATAGCTGGTTTGCTTTCATAAAGTCTTTGACTTCCTACATCTCTTAATTGGTTTGTGAGTAAAGTTGTCAGCTGAGCATTAGTGGCACAGGTCTACAATCCCAGGATTCGGGAGGCTGAGGCAAGAGAGAAAGGATTGCTTCAAGTTTGAAGCCAGCTGGGCTACAGAATGTGATCTTGTCTCAATGAAGATTTTGTTGGTGGGTGGGCAGGGACAGTGGGAGGGCTCTTAAGGGCATTTGCCACCAGGCCTAACAACTCTAGTTTAATCTCTAGGATCCATATGGTGGAAGGAGAGAGCCAACTCCTATAAGTTGTCTTCCGGCCCCTTGTACATGCCATGACATAATGTGTACACACACAAAATAATTGTTAGTAGGGAAAAAAACCCCAAAAATTTAGGTATTAGCTTTGCGAAGTATTTGAAGCCAGGTGACAGACAGGAAGCACTGCATGGAGACTCAGTTAAAGCCCTAGTTGAATTACTGTCCTACACCCAATTCCTGTTTTTTAATAGATTTATTGTCTTCGTGTATGTGATCATGTGCACATGTGTGGAGGTGCTTGAAGGAGCCAGAAGAGAACATCAGCTCCTCTTGAGTTGGAGTTACAGGCTCTAGTTGTACGCTACCTGATAGGACTGCCAAGATTGGACCTCTGGTCCTTTGGAAGAGCAGCAAGCACTCTTACTGCTGAGTCATCTCTTCAGCCTCTGCATCTAGAACTATAGACCTTAGGTGGTTCATTTGATACAGTTTCTGTGTTACCCTTTGTATAACCAAGGATGTCCTTGACTTTCTGATCCTCCTGTCTCTGGAGTACTTAAGATTTCAACCTATGCCACCATATGTGGTTCATTTATTGTTTCCTGTTGAACTTAGGGTTTGTGTATGCTAGAGAAGCACTCTGCTGAGTTACATCCTCAACCCTCCGAATGGTTAATTCAAATCATCTGGGTCCCTTTTAACTTTTCTTCCTTCCTTCCTATTTTCTCAAGAAATATTAGGTGGAGCCAACACACCTTATGAGAAAGGAGTTTTCACATTGGAAGTTGTTGTTCCTGAGAGGTGAGTGTGAATTGCATGGTAAGATACAGACAGTCATTGGAAAACAGAATAGAATAGTATCTACAGCATTAGTGTATCAATCCCAGTTGTACCATGACCTATGTAGTAAATTGTTTTTGTGTCTCTGGAGTTCGGTTTCCTTCTCGAAAATAGTGGACTATGTCATAACTGAGCTCCACCTCTCCAAAAAAAAATGTGATTTATATATTTTATATAACATAAAATTGACTCTTGTAGCCGTTTTAAGTATGCATTTCCACACTGTTGTGCAACTATTACTATTATCTCTAGAACTTTTTCATATTCCCAGCTGTAACTTCATACCCATTAAAGACCCATCCTGAGTTGTCTCTGACACCAACCCTTGGCAACCATCATTGCTTTTTCCACCTCAATGTTAAGGCGGGTTTCAGTCAGGTCTTTCAGCTCCTGTGTACAGAATGAGTGAGTGAAATGAGTGTCTTAACTAATGAAGCTGAACATCTGTCTACCAGGTTAGGTCCTGGACAAACTTGTTAAACCCTGAATGAGTAGCTTAATTGTGTCCCAGTTCTGAAAAAACACTGGGAATTTTGCGATGTTTGTGTGTCACTAAAGAGATATGATAACTAAATGCAGTGTGTAAGTCTAGTTGGAGCCTGTTTGTAAAAACATTTGGAGACTGGAGAGATGACATCGTAGCTGCTCTTACAGAGGATCTGGCTTCAGTTCTGAACACCCATGAGGTAGCTCACAACCACCTATAAACCCCAGCTCCAGGGGATCCAGGTGTGCAGGCAACACACATAAAAACAAATAAATCCTGTTTTAAAATTTGGAGAGCTGGGTGTTGGCACACGTCTTTAATCCCAGAACTTGGGAGGCAGAGGCAGGCGGATCTCTGTGAGTTCGAGGCCAGCCTGGTCTACAGAGTAAGTGCCAGGACAGGCTCCAAAGCTATACAGAGAAACTGTGTCTTGAAAAACAAAACAAACAACTAAATAAATAAAAGAAAATGTGGAAACTAGGAAGTTTAAATAGTAAATAATAACTAGGCAATTGCTTTTAAAAACTTCTTACAGATGTAATAGTATTAATAGTATTGTAGTAGGATAGTGTCCTTATTCTTAGGAGATACTTGGTAGTGTTTAGAAAGTGATAGGGTGATAGGTTTCTGAATGTTTTCAGTACCATTATTTTTACAATTTATTTATTTATTTATTTATTGATTTTTGGTTTTTGAGACAGGATTTCTCTGTATTGCTTTGGAGGCTGTCCTGGCACTCACTCTGTAGACCAGGCTGGCCTTGAACTCAAAGAGATCCACCGGCCTCTGCCTCCAGAGTGCTGAGATTAAAGGCATGCACCACCACCAATACCCGGCCTATTTCAACTTTTTGATTGTTGGCAAATTTGGAAAAGATTTGCCTTCCAAATACTGTTTTTCTGGCATTTTTCTAGTTTTATCTTTATTTTATATAGCTACGAGTGATCTAGAAACTACTTAAAAATGTCGTATAAGTCCTCACCCCCAACTGAGGTACTAGTAGAATGATGACAGTTGATAACTGATAGCTCCTTGGGGACGGAGAGTCGGTTTTCTCTAAGGCCTGTCATGGGTTAACCATGCTCTCTGGTGGGTGACTCCACACCCATGAGTGTATATGGGCACCATAAACTTGACGTGGTAAATTACTTAAAAAAAAAGAAAAAGAAGTTGTGGTGCATGCCTGCAATTATGAAGCAGTACTAAAATAATTTCCTGTTTTTGTACGTTCACAGGTACCCATTTGAACCGCCACAGATCAGATTTCTGACTCCAATCTATCATCCAAACATTGATTCTAGTGGAAGGATTTGTCTAGATGTTCTCAAATTACCACCAAAAGTGAGTGGGAGTTAAAGAGTTGACTCTTTAGAGAAAATGCCAACAGTTTTCTGGGTTTTGAAAGAAGGAAGCAGGAGTTTCAGGAATTAAAAGGTCACCTTCAATGATATAACAAGTTCAAGACCAGTCTGGATTACATGAAACTGTCTCAGACAGACAAAAAGTCCTTGGTTTATATACAATAACGTATTTGTTTTGATTTTCTGAGACAATATATCCCATAGCAAAGGATGGCCTTAAACTCCTGGTCCTCCTGCCTCTACCTCATTAGTGCTGAGATTACAGGCATGACTCACCATGCCTGGCTCAACAGTGTCATTTGCTAATTAATACAAAGCAATTGTTCATAGGGTGCATGGAGACCATCCCTCAACATCGCTACTGTGTTGACCTCTATTCAGCTGCTCATGGCAGAACCCAACCCTGATGACCCACTAATGGCTGACATTGTACGTATCCCCATTTCTTCAGTAGCGTATACTTCAGCAGCTGGTGTTTATCACAGCATAACACTGTTTCTCTGTTTTAACTCTGATTTCATTTCAGTCCTCAGAATTTAAATACAATAAGATAGCTTTTCTCAAGAATGCCAGGCAGTGGACAGAGACTCATGCAAGACAGAAACAGAAGGTATGATATTTGCTAATATTACCAGTTTGAGTGTTATATCCATGGAGGGAGGAGGGGCTAACCCTCACCCCTAACTGAGGCACTCATAAAGTTGGTAACAGTTGATAGCTCTGGGGGATGGAGCATCAGTTTTCTTTAAGGCCTCATAGGTTAACCATGCTGTGGTGGGTGTCTCTACCCACGAGTGTATGGACAGTACAAATCGGACTTAGGGGGTTATATTTCAAAACAAAAACATTTTAAGACCTAGTATGGTGGTACATGCTTTTAATCTCATCCCTCAGGAGGCAGAGGCAGGCAGAGCTCTGTAAATTTGAGGCCAACTTGAGCTACATAGTAAGTATATAGTAAGTTCCAGGCCAGCCAGGAACCCTGTCTCAAAAAAATTTACAGAGGCACAATATTGGAGAAAGATGGGGGATGAATGTGGGAGGAGTTAGAGGGAGAAGGAGGGAGTGAATATCATCAAAATACATTGTATAGAATTTTCAAAGAATTAATAAAATATGTATAGTGTATGCGGGGATTGGAGAGACAGTTTAGTGGCTAAGAAGACATAATCCTCTTTTGAGGACCCTAATTCAGCACCCAACATCCATCCGGAGGCTTACAACTACCTATATCTCCAGCTCTTACAAATCTGACACCCTCTTCTAGATTCCACAGGCAACTGCACTCACATGTACAGAAACCCACACACAGACACGTGATTAAAAATAAAATACATCTTAAAAAAATAAGATACCTATCTAAATAATGTTTACTAAATTTGCTACATTCATACTATACACTAGACCAGCTAGTTGGGTTCTTTTTCCTGTTGTAACCGTCTAAAACTGTTCAGCAAAATGCAACTAACTGTTGGCCTCTTTCCTAACAGTTGTCATCTGTTGACAACACCAGAGGGCAGGCAGCATCTGCCTGACATTTTATGTTCCTGTGAGTTGCAGAGATAGAGGGAATGTGACTCACTCATATTTTTCTGATCTGTCCTTTTTAATATTGAGCCAGAGACTAGTTACAAGAACAATGAGAAGGTTGGGTTAGGAGGGAAAATTTTATCTCTTATGGGACCATTCATGAAAAGGGGGATGTTTAAGTTGATAGAGTGTAGAGTGGCTTGTTTTTTTGAGACAGTGTGTATATAGCCCTAGTTGATTTGATCTTACTATGTTATCCAGGCTTGCCTGAAATTCTGTAGTCCTCTTACCATAGCCTCTTGATTGTTATAGGCAAACATCATTATGTCTAGCTTTTTGAGTTGATAAAGTTTGAAGTGAAAAAGTAAAAAAAAAAATTTTTTTTTGATGAAGATGCTTTTGGAGGAAATATATGCCCAGTAAAAATCTTAAAAGGATACCAGGAAATAGCACTACAAAGCTTTGGTTTTTGTCCATTGGCATTGATGTGAATGTTATTTCACTCCCTGTTTCCTCTTAGGCTGATGAAGAGACGTTAGACACCTCATCAGAGATTGGTGACTCTGAGGAATGTAACTCCACACAGAAAAGGAAAGCTGGGCCACTAGGAGGCATTGAAAAGAAATTCCACCCTGATGTTCAGAGAGTTTGTCCTGGTCCTTCTTAGTTAATGGAGTCTGTGACAAGGCGGTCTCTTTTGCTAGCTTTTCTTGATTGTTTTTCTTTGTATTTGATGACATAATGTTTGTATTCTTATAAAAGACTGTATGTTTACGAATTCTGCTATGCAGTGATTCTTTAAGGATAGTCTGTTTTATTTATCTTGTACATATGTATTTTGAAAACTTTTAAACTTGAGAAATAAATACTACTTAATGTTAAGTATGTGTTTATCCTAAGCGTATGTCTGGGAGTGAACTGGTTGTAGTGCTGTATGATCAGAATGTTAAAATATTTTGTCAGCTTACCATCACTATAGATACAGAATGTTTGGCTAGATGAAAAATAACTGTTAAAAATCATTACCCCTAGTTTTGGGGAGTGCAGTTTTTCAGAAACCTTAAAACTGTGGAATAAGGCAGTATATACTTTTGTCAGGGTTTAATTATTTTCAAATTTCACTTTGTGATTTATATAGCTGAACATAATTACTGTACTGTAACTTTCATTTGTTCAACAATCTGTTTTGTTGTCTGTTGAGACAGAATCTTGCTATATGGCTAAGGCTAGCTAGCCTAAATGCATACAAGAGTGCCTCTGCCTCCCAAGAACTGGGATTACAGGCATATACCACCATGCCTGGCCCGTGACAAATGTTATTCTGAACAATTAGTTGCCAAACTTAAATCCCCTATTGTGACTTCTTAACACACTTGTCTAATGGTGCATTTGGGATGCTAACTGGCTAGCACTCTAACCTTCTGGTCCTGTTAACCCTTACATGACAGTGATAACAGAACAGAGTATAAGTCAGTTGATACTTCCTGTTTGTGTGAAAGACTTTGAGGAATATAAAGACTGGAGCTGCCTAGACAGAAAGGGTATATAATGTCTCTCTCTGTATCCCACTGTAGCAGTCATGATTTTATACTCTAGGTAGATGCCACATACCTACAGTGCATCTCGAGTAAGTGTGTGTTCTGCATCTGTTCCCATGCCATCACTCAGTAGCAGTCTGCTATTCATGTGCTGGACCCATACAAAGAAGATAAATGTGGGTTTCTCTACTTCATTAGTGACAGGTAGCATTTACTGAAAATCAGTTTCTAACTTCTACAGAGTTTTTTTCAGTGCTGGGATTGACGACTCAGCGCTTTGCATATGGCAGGCAGAAGCAGTGTTGCTGAGTTACATCACCTACCTTTAAAGAATTCTTTTTTTGAAATATTTGTTTTATGTGGTGTATCTGTGTGTGTGTGTGTGTGTGTGTGTGTGTGTGTGTGTGTGAGTGTGTGTGTGTACACCTTATGCATGCAGGAACCCAAAGGGCATTGGTTTCCCTGGAACTAGCAGTATAGACAGTTGTGAACTGCTGTGTAACTGCTGGGACCTAAAACCAGGTTTTCTGCAAGAGCGGTAAATGCTCAATCACTGAGCCATCTCTTCAGCCCCCCCTTTACAGAATTCTTCAATCCATTTCTCGGAGTGAGTTACTGTTCTCTTTTTAAAGTCTAGGAATTAATTTTATCCCAGGTTTGTATCTTAACTCATTAGACAGACTTAGAATTCCTAGAAAACCATTGCTATGTCAATTAGGGTGATTTCAGCTGTGAATGAAATCCATTGCCTTCCTAAATGGAAAGGAGTAGGGTAGATGCGGATTTGGTGGATTGATAATTCTAAGTCTGATTTGTCTTCCCTCCTAAGACTCTCCATGCGACTTCCATTTGCAGTGAAGATAACTACAGCAAAAGACCAGTCTACTTCCCTGACCCATAAGACCCTTCATGCTTTGTCCTCATGCACCCCATCCCCCCTTATATAATACCTCCTACATCTGCCATGATCATCTCAAATGCAGTCTCAGCTCATCATCCAATCTAAAGCAGCCAAGAGCCTTGGGTACTCTCCGACCCACTACTCGTTACTCAATTAGTTTTCTTCATACCTTACCTAAGTATGTTGTGTGTAAAAAACAATAACAGAGCTAAAAGTGGAAGTCATCCATCCATCCATCCTTTTGAAGATTATAGAGGACTTGGGCTGGGGAAGAGAAGTCCAATTCCTTCTCATTTGGGGAAGGATGGAAAAATGGCTGAAAACATGGACAAAGTCAAGGTCTAGTTATTACTTGGGAGGTGGAGACAGGAGGATCAGGAGTTTAAAGTCATCCTAGGTGACATCAAATTTGAGCCAGCTTCTCTTTCTTTTTTAATTTTTTTAAGATTTGATTGTTTCTAAAGGAAAAAGAAAAGGCAGTTCCAACTTTGGTAGGTACTGCTTATCAGTTGTGTGCTCTTAATATTAGACCTTCCTTTTTGCATTTTGCCTCCATAAAGTAGCCACATTGTAGTAGTTAACTCAGAGTGCGCTGTGAGCATAGAATGAAATAATGCTTGTAAAGAATCCTGCCTGGGGCCCAGCTAGGTTGGCATTTACAGTACTTGCATGGGGGTGGAGACAGTGTTCTAGCTATAGGTGAACCCTGAGGAACTGCCATGTCCTCAGCCTGCTTGCCAGTCTGCTTTGTTCCTGGGACAACCAAACTGAGCAGTGTTTTCAACTCCAAACCCATAATTAAAGGGGAGAGATGACATCCATGACTGATCATATAAACATTGCAGATTCCAAGTTCCTCTCTCCTGCCCCCCACCCAGTCCCCCTCTTCACCTCTCCCCACAAGCTATCTAAATAAGAACAGATTTTACCACCCACCTTGTGGGCAGACAGCTGAGACTAGGACTAGCTATTTATCCTTCGGCTGCTTCAGGAATTCAACACATACAAATAAAGTTCCTTTTCCAGCCAAGTGTGTATTTTTCATCATCGTGTGCCCCCCACCCCAACCCAGGTTGTCTTGTTTAGGTGGGGATGGCCTAAAGGAAGGAAGGACAGGGTGGGCATGTGGGGGTGTGGTTTTAGAACCTGCTTCCAGGGTAACTGGCTGCAGGGCAGCTTGCAGTCCAGGCCTGTGCAGGGCTGCCAGCAAAACCCAAGAGAGGCAGAGCAATGGACACAGACATGCTATGTGCAGAAACAACACATTCCACTTTGCTGCTTGGCAAGTGTCGCTCCTGCCTCTTGCTGTGCCCCCTTACTCTGGGGAGTGGCCATCCCTCTCTCTAACAGTTTATATCAGAAATGACAGTGTGTCCTGATGTCTTTCATCTCCCCACCTCACTCTAGGACTTTTACCCTTTCATGTCCTTGTTTTTCTTGCTTTTCTTTTCCTGACACCACATCCCACTAGACTGTCCCCAACAACATTGCCTGCCTTCTTTACCAAGGACCCTGAGACTATTTAATTTGGACAAGGAGCTCCTCGCCAAGCAACTTCCCTCAGACCTCCCACCAAATGAACCCACAAGAACTCAAACTAGGGGTTGAGTTCTCCATTTCCAGATTACTAGATGGAGAGTCACTGTCCGTAGCAGCTCTTTACACACACAAAAAAATCTGATCTTTCCAATAGCCTGCAGCATTTCAGCCCTGTATTTCCCATTTTACTGATAATGCAACTGAGAGGTTAAGTCAAACCTAAGGACAGTGGACGTCCCCTGCACTCTCCTGATGCTGACCGTCCGCTGTGCAGTTATGACACTAACTGCAAAATCCACACAGGAGTGCCCAGTGGCTCTCACTCACCTCACCTGCTCTTTTCATTCTCCCCTACTCCCTCCCCTGCCTCACTTGAGCATCCTCTTGCCTCAAGTTACTCCCTAGGCATTCCCACCTAGCCCCATGTTCATATGATAGCTATCCTGACTAGTCTTATGTCAACCTGACACAAACCAGAGTCATCAGAGAGGAGGGAGCCTCAACTGAGAAAATGTCTCCATGAGGTGGGGCTGCAGGCAAGCCTGTGGGAACATTTTCTTCATTACTGACGCGGGAGGGCTCAACCCATTGTGGGTGGCACCACCCCCTAGGTTGGTGGTCCTGGGTTCTATAAGAGAGTGGGCTGAGCAAGCCAGTAAGCAGTACCCCTCCATGGCCTCTCTGCGTAGTTCCTGCCTCCATGTTCTTATCCTGTTTTGAGTTACTGTCCTGACCTCCTTCAACAATGGAGTACAATGTGGAAGTATAGGCCAAATAAATCCTTTCCTGCCCATTTTGTTTTTGGTCATGGTGTTTCAACCCAGCAATAGCAATGTAACTAAGACAAGAGCCTATCCTAATGGTCCTGACAATCCCCCTCGACCTCCAAAACACAAATGAGTTCACTTCTGCTGGGCTTGGGTAGGGGTGGCACAGGTGGGACTTGTTAAAGGAGACTTTTGGCCTCTTTCTATGTAAGTACCAAAATCCACACACACAAACAAAAATCACTGGCTCACTGCCTGCAAATCCAAAAGGTTTTTTAGGCATGGCTAATACAGATATTCAAATGATGTTGTCAGGATTTATTGTTCTGCAAGAGCCCAGACAGACACCAGCGCCTGTGCATCCTGCCAGCCCAGCAGCTCCAGGGACAGTACTTGTTATCACTCCAACGCTCTTGGATCAGATCTTACTGGGAGACTTGCTTGTGAGTCCTCCTTTGGCTAATCAGTGAAGCCGAAGACAATGCTGATAGAGCCCAGATCACATTCCCACCTGGGAACCTGGAATGAATTGAACCACATGCTGTAAGAGCAGTGGAACACTTCCTGAAGGAAATTGTTGCCAGAATGAAGGAAGTGGTTACTGGGCAGGAAACATTTACTCTGAAGAAATTGGTAACTAGCATGGTATTTCAACCATGCTAGCCAGGGGAGGAGGGCCAATGACTCAAACCTTTAATCTTGCCTTCTAAATAATCTGTGCACAGTGTTTTCTTCTTTTTAGGAAACTTTTACTTTTGTTTTTTTGAGGCAGAGTTTCTCTGTGTATCTTTGAGGGTCCTGGAACTCAGTCTATAGACCAGGCTGGCCTCGGACTCACAGAGATCCAACCGCCTCTGCCTCCTGAATGCTGAGATTAAAGGCGTGCACTACCATGCCTGGCTTTCTTCTTTTTAAGACTTACTTTATTTTATGTGTGCCTGCTGACCACATATGCCAGAAGACATTGAATGCCAGGAACTGGAATTATGGGTGTTTATGAGCTGCCATGGTTGTGCTGGGAACTGAACCCAGGTCCTCTGTAAAAACATCAAGTGCTTTTAACCTTTGAACCATCTCTTCAGTTACACTGTCTTGTAAACTCAAAGGACATATGTAAAAGTCATGACACAAACCTAGAAAGTGGAGAGCCAGGGTGACAGTTCTTAGAGACAGCTCTAATTCAGATAATAATATAGGAGCTGGTGGCATGGCTCAGTGCTCAAAGGCATGTGCCACCAAGCCTGACAATTGACTGATACCCAAGACCCATATGATAGAAGAAGAGAACTGACTCCCTCAATATGTCCCCTGACCTCTACATAAACTCTGTCATAAAGTGCATATACACATATACATGCAAAAACAAACATAAATAAATAGAATATAGGAATATAAATTAATTAGTTCAGACATAAGGTTCTCTGCTGTTTTTTTGCATCTCCTGGCCAAACTGAGGAACAATTATTAAGTATGTGCTTAGTTAATTGGACTCTTTTGGGGGTGGGTTGAGACAGGGTTTCTCTGTATTGTTTTGGAGGCTGTCCTGGAACTTGCTCTGTAGACCAGGCTGGCCTGGAACTCACAGAGATCCGCCTGCCTCTGCCTCCCGAGTGCTGGGATTAAAGGTGTGTGCCACCAACGCCCGGCCCTAATTTGACTCTTTAAAAAATGTTTTTAAGACGGGTGGTGGTGGTACACGCCTTTAATCCCAGCACCCGGGAGGCAGAGGCAGGCGGATCTCTGTGAGTTCGAGGCCAGGCTGGACCCACAGCCTCCAAAACAATACAGAGAAACCCTGTCTCGTAAAAAAAACTAAAAAAACAAAGATGTTTTTAAGACGTTGGACTCCTGGTCCTCTTGCCTTGTATCCCAAGTGCTAGGATTACATCCATACACCACACACTTCTAACTCACTTTTATTCCTTCCCTTTCAACAGAAAGTAATCAAGCATCTCTCTGTGAGATCCTATAAAAGGACTGAGGGTACAGTGAGTGAGAGGAGTAGGCTCTTCTGGAACTCTGACACTGCCTCATGGTGCCAGGTCTCAGCTTTTCCCTATAGCCCCTTCAATCCGGGGGTTTCTACTTCAACTGAGGTTGCACCTTTACCAATGATCTCTCTCAGTACCTGTAGATCTAGGTGGACTTTTCTGTCCTGCCAGCCAGCTCCCAAATAACCACCCAGAGAATTATTAATTATAAATTCTCAGCCTATAGCTTAGGCTTGTTTTTAGCTAGCTCTTATAACTTAAATTAACCCATTAACTCTATGTGCTGCCCTGAGGCTTATTTACTTCATATATGTACTTTCCATCCTGCTGGCTCTGAGTCTCATGGCCTCTCCTCAGACTCTGCCCTTCTTCCCAGCATTCCCTCTGGCCCCCAAATCCTACCTAGCTACCCCCATTTAGCTTTTTATTATCCAATGAGAGTAATACATATTTACAGTGCACAAGATTGCTCCACAGCATGTAGAAGCCAATCTTATGGAAGCATTTTTTCAATTGAGAAACTTCAGTTCCCTCTTTCCAGATGACCCTAACTTGTGTCAAGTTGACAAAAACGAAAACAAATAAAACACTAACCAGCACGTAATGAATATAAACTGCTGTGTTTATTGATATTTGAAATATATTAGGTTTTTTTTAAAAAAGCAGAAGCATTTTTGTGGTATGCTGCAAAAAAAAGAAATAAGTACATAAATGTTTGTTTAATATGCATTGAAAAAAGTCTGAGCTGGGAGTCTGACTGAGAAGTAAAGCATTTGTGTATGTAGTTTGCAGAAGGCCATGGTCACTCACAATTGCAAAAAGCAGGAGAAATACTAGGAATGTAGCTCAGTTGGAAGGATGTTAGCCTGGCAGGCATAATGCTCAGGGCTTGACCCCCAGCTCTGCACAAATTGAATATGGACACATGTTCCTATAATCCTGGTCCTGGGGGGTAATGACAGGAGGATCAGAAGCTCAAGACCATTCATCCTCTGCTATACAGCAAGTTTGAAGCCAGTCTGCTGCAATGAGACTCCGGGCATTCATGTGTTATGTATGTCCTTTGTGGAAGGATGAGACAGTAACAGCCGTGGTAACCAGTGAAGGTTTGGGAAGTGCAACAAATAGGAACAGAGAGGGGAGACATACGAATCATGTAAATGTAATACTCAAAAATTAGATTAAACTTTTAAACAAAAGAGAGAAGGAAGGGAGCAGTTGGTTGTGGTTGCAAAGCAGATAGACATAAAAAAGCAGGCCTCCAGAGAACACAGCATGCCCTTGGTGGGCATGACTAATCCCAGAATCCCACTGGTTTAAACGCAGGGCTGTCTCCACCAGAACAGCCTCTGGTTTTAGATAAAAGGCCCCGCCAAGCCAGGACTCTTTTCTGGTCTTGGGTTTGCTTAGATTCTGCATCTCAAGGAACATATATTTATTAGAATAAACCCCACGTTTTTCCTCTTATCCAAGTCTAACAAGGCTGAGAAAGTGGGCTTTGATGTAGTTGAGCCAAAAGGATGAAGGGTTTAGAATATTCCATTCAAAAAGAGAAGAGGACAGGTGTTTATGAAGACATCATTGTCTTCTCAGAAGGGAATCAGTATTCTGAATCAGCTAAGAAAAAAAGCTGGAAAACATTTAAATGTAGGGATGGAAGTATAGATAAACAGGGAGGAGGAGAAGGGCCCCCGGTGCTAGGTTGGTGTCTTTACTTTCTATTGCTGTGATAATACTCTGATCAAACCAACTCGGGGAGGAAAAGGTTTGTTTCAGCTTACAGTTTATAGCCCATCACGAAAAGAAGTCAGGGCAGGAACTGAAGCAGAGACCATGGAGGACTACTGCTTAGTAGTTAGCTTCCCATTGCTCACTCAGCCTCAGTCTTCTTTTGTTAAGCACAAAAACCAAAACCTCAGGACCACTTGGCAGGGGTGGGTGGGTAGCACTATCCCCAAGTTACCTGGGTCCTCCCAAACCAATCAAGAAAATGCCCTACAGACTTACCTATAAGCAATCTGACGGAAGCAATTTCTCAACTGAGGTTCCTCTTCCAGGATGACTCTGGTTTTTGTCAAGTTGGTAAAAAACTAACCAAGACAGTCAGTAAGACCCTGATATCATGCTAGAACTAGCATCTTGTTCTCATGATCACATGGTTTTGCCAACTTTTATCTCTTTCCCTTCCCCAGGAAGGACTTCTGCTTTTCTTGGGAATGTCATTACTCTCAGAAGCAAGGCTCTGGGGAAGGAGGAAGTTCAGCCTATAAAAAGAAAACAAACTGACTCTTTGGTGGAAACCTCAGCAGTAGGTTTGGGCTGACAAGACTTCAGGGTTCAAGACACAGGAAACCTAAGCTGCTCCTAGTTCTCCTTAGACTCTGTTCTGTCTGACCCAGTGCGCACAAAGGACACCAGCACGGATGACCACAACTGGTTCTGATTCCTCTACGTTATCAACCTGAGCCTCCTCAGCTGTGGTCTGAATGTCCCAGAACTCAGAAAGGGGAAGGAGATCGAGCTTGATCCTCTCAAAGCCACCCCACCTCTGTCACACCCATGATTCCCCTGGGGACAGCAGAAAGGCAGAAGGACACATTGCTACTTCGTCGGTGCTTTATTGTACAGAAAAATCCGAATATTTACATCTTGATAATTTTTATATTTCACATGGCTGGGGAGGGCATGGGACTGGAAGTCAGAAGGGATTTAGAGGTGATGGGTCATAGGTAGGAGAACTTGGTAACCCAGAGAAGAGGTAGTTAAGGGATTGGTGCTAGGAAGGTCAGGGTTCCTACTACCTCCTTTCATCCTGGCCCCCCCAGACCTTCTGCCTGTCGCCAGCTCTTCTCTCTTCTCCTCCATTACTCCATTTACTCTTCCTGGGAAAGGGAGCCCAAAGAAGTGGGTGGGAGAGGTGGTAAAGAGGAAGGATGAGGACTAGCAAGGAGCCCTGCTAATTCATACTCTTCCATTTATAGCTGTACATTTGGTTTTGGTTTTTCATTTTGATGAGATGGTTAGCAAGCCACGGTCCACATAAAGTTCTCCTCAGTCTAAGAGAAGATCGCAGTTGGCACTAGCTAATGGCATAGCACACAGAGTCCAAGGCAGTACATGCCAAGTCCTAACATTTCTACCACCACCATCTTAGCCCCAAGAGTGGATTCTTTCCCATGGACACTATTTGGGAAGATTTTGTTAATGACAACAACAGACAACTTACATACTCCGAACACTTCAATTTCCCATCTTGTGATGAGTCTAGGACACATGGTTTTTCCTGTCAAATCCAAACATGTAGAACAGAGACCTGGAAATTTGCTTAGGAGAAGACACATGGTCTTTGACTGATCACAAAGGACAGAACCAAAGGAATAACATACTGACTTACTATAAATTCAGCCACAAACAAAACCCAAAGAAACTTTACTACTCAATCTTATTTGGGATAAATGTATATGAGCTGGTTTTTGGGGTTTGTATGTTGAGACAGAGTCTCATGTAGCCTAGGCTAGCCTCAAACTCACTATGTAGCTGAGGATGACTTCAACTCTCCATCTTTCTGTCTCCACATCCCACATGCTGGAATTAGAGGCATGCACCACCACTTTTGGCTAGACGTCCTGAATAATAGTTCATAGAGGACAACTTCAACTCCTGTCTCCCTTGCCTCTTCTTTAACTAGAAAGGACAGCTGTGGCCAATGTCCAGATCTTTAGAAGCAGACAATAAGGTGACAACAGTGCTACACTTTCATAGAAGACATCTTTAAGAACAATTCCTGTATTTCCCATCCACCAACATATGGCCAATCTAGGCTGGTTCCTGAACTCCAAAGGGACCCATGATCCCATAGTGGTGGTGGTAGAGAGGACAAAATCTAGGATGACTTTCTAGAAGTCAAGACTCCCCAAAATAATACCAATTTTGTCATCCCTGTGTAATCTTAGAGAACCACCAAATCTCAGAAAACCATCAAGGGCTCTTGATCAGCCCTGGGGACATAAAGAGCTAAGGCACCCTGAAACAACTGATAAATAAATGAGCCATTATTTAGTGAATGCCTACTCTGGAACTGACCCAATGAGAGGATCCTACAGAAATGATAAAGTATGCTTTTTCTTCTTTTGAGTCTTTGAAAGTCCAAGGGCTACTCGGTGAGGCACATGGGACTTAGAAATGCTTGGAGCTCCATGCATGGCCTCTCGCTCATCCCTCCACCCTACTTGTTGACCTACGCCAGAATTTTCCCTGGGCACTGGGGACAGGGGGAGACAGCAAAGAAGCTAAGCTATAGAAAGGTAACTAGCAAACTTAGAGAAGGACCTTTTCAGCTTGCTTTAAAGGTGAAGTTCTTGGAGAGAGGAGTCTGCTAAGGATCACAACAGCATTCAGGCAGAGAATGGACCTCCACCGCACTTCAGGATCCAGACTCAGTCTTCTCCAAAAAAATGATGTTGGGGGTTCCCAGGAGCAATTATCACCTATTACTGAGTCTTGGATCTCCCCTGCTTCTTACCTTCTCCCCTGAGGTTGAATTTCTGTGTTAGGAGTGGGGCAGGAGGCACTCTGTAGTCCCTCAACTGCACTTAAGAAAGCATAAGGTAAGAAAGGTCATGAAGTGATAGGCAGAAGGATCAATGACCTGTTGGGGGCACCTGAGTCCCAGATAGCTACAATACTCCCTAAAATGAAATACCCACAATACACATACCCCTGTTCTTGGATTGTCTACCACTCCCAGAAACAGGATTGGGATGAGAAGAGAGGCCCAGGCTGCGGCAGGAGGCAAACAATGTAAAACCACACAGAGGTAACATCGAGTTAGGGGGAGCCCACAGAACCACAGACTTCCCAGCGTGCACTTTGCAGAACCTGAGAGTCCTGTCTTGCTGAGCGCAGAAATTTCATTGGTGCTTGAGGTTGTGTGGTATGGGGCACATACAAGGGTCTCTCTCTCCCTGCCCCACTTCATGTGGCTGAGGCAGGCTTCTCCAGAGGAGTAGGGCGGGCAGCAAAATGTAAGCAGTCTCTCCTAGACGATGGAATCACCAGTCACCTCTGGTACTTCACCCCAGGTTGGCTTCTGATGGGCTTCCAAGGAGGGTGGCATCTTGTGATGTCACTGGGTAGCACTCCATGGTGTGAAGATGAGTCCCCTGGGAGAAAACCATCCTAAGTTCTGGAGATATTTATAAGTATTCCACAAAAAGCAAACAGAAACCTATCATCAGACAGCTAAGTATAACTGTTGCAGAAATTAAGTTAAAAGGACCTAATTCTCTTTAGACACTAACATGACCCCGTGACTCTAAGAAAGGGGCATGACATGCACTGTCTTCCAAAGCATATTTGAACAGGAAGCACTTTTGCATGGCATAGGTCAAGATGAATGGGACACAGAACAATTTTATATCCTATCCATGAATCGTAGGGGAGGTACCCCCATGTCTTTGGCAGCTCTCTTCCGTGCCCGTCTCCCTGCTCACTGTACACTCACTAACCCTGTCAGCTCCCCACTCCCTTTACTGTCTCCTAAGAAAATCTCCAGGTTTCTGTTCTACATATTTGGATTTGACAGGGAGGACCCAGGATGAGAGCACAGCTGAAGAGGGCCAGGTCAAAACAAGACCTGGAAGCACTCATTGGTTACAGCCATGGAGAGAGCACATCGGAACCAGGGGTGGCTGGCCAGCCTGCCGTGGAGTTTTAGTTGTACTTTTTTTTTTTTTCGTAAGCAGCCATCATTGAGAGGGGGAGAGGGCGAACAAGGAGGGATATTTACAAGTGAGAGGCAAAGGGAGAGCCAGAGGGCCAGAAGACTCCACTCGCCGCAGAGCCACGGCCTGCCAACGTGGTTCCCTCTGCCCTCAGCGGCAGTTCTCCATTTATGGGAGGCTGTGGGTTCCCATCAGGCTCTACAAAACGATTTCCCTCCAGCCTGGTGGCCCCTGGCTGCTGGCGGGAGATGAGGGTCACTGAGGGGAAGCCATAGGTCTCTAGCCCAGGAGGCTGCCCAGCCTCAGAAGCTTCCAGAATAAGGTCCACATCAGAGAAAGCCACTAGCGCTTGGGTGGAGTCGCAGGAGCTCTTCTCCAGCTCACCGGCTGCAGCGTAGGCTAGGGGTCCCGTGGGCCGAGGGCTCGGCCAGAGCCTCCGAAGGTCATCCCTGAAGTGAGGGTTGAAGAGCAGGTAGAGCAGTGGGTTGAGGCAGGCAGGCAGAGGCAGCACCACCAGAAGGACAGACTTGACAGCCTCGGGGGTGACCGGGAAGAGGCCCAGCATGGAGGCAAAACTGAGGAAGGCCACGGGGCAGTAGAGGAGGCCATCTGTAAAGATGAGCCAGGCCACGTGCCGCACCATGGCGCAGTCCCACACGGCCTCGAAGTCGCCCCGAGGCAGGTCACAGTAGAGCTTGATGTAGGCGCCAGCTACGACCAGGAAGCAGAGCGAGTTCATCATCACCAGGGCCACGGCGAAGCCCAGGGCGGCCGGCCGGCCCTCGGGCGGGGCGTAGGGTAGGCAGAGCGGGGAGGCGCCGTACTCCCCCACCGAGGCCAGCGGCAGCGCGGCGGCCAGCCCGGCCAGCGCCAGGCACCCCAGTGCGCCTGCGCGCACGCTGCCGGGCGACGGCGCCTTCCCGTAGGCCCGGACGCAGGTCACGGAGACGCTGCACTGCACCGCGGCCAGGGTGAGCAGCAGCACCGACGCCTCCGACCCCAGGACGGCCAGGAAGCCCGTAGCCTGGCAGCCTAGCCCGCTCTCCCAGCGGGCTCCGTACTCAGCGAATTGGCCGAAGGTCAAGGCGTCCACCGAGGCCAGGAGACCGCAGGAAATGCCAGTCAAGGCGTTGGCGCCTGCGATTGCACCTACCACAAGCTTGACCGGGGACAGCGGGCTGGGCCCGCCGGCAAAGACTGTCAGCAGCACCAGCCCGTTGCAGAGTACCGAGAGCAGCACGATGGCCCACACTGCAAGGCGGATGCCCCAGCTCTCAAAGAGATGTTCGCAGGGCTTGAATGGGCCTGGGAGAGAAGAGAACAGACATAAGCCCAGAGCAGGGCCTGCCAGAACCCAGCTCACTGGCAAGGCAGACGACTCCTAAAGTAAAGGAGACTTTTTTTTTTTTTTTTTTTTTGGTTTTTCGAGACAGGGTTTCTCTGTATTGTTTTGGAGGCTGTCCTGGAACTCACTCTGTAGACCAGGCTGGCTTCGAACTCACAGAGATCTGCCTGCCTCTGCCTCCCCAGTGCTGGGATTAAAGGCGTGCGCCACCGACGCCGGGCAAGTAAAGGAGACTTAACAGTAGAGAATTTTGTCTCAGAAAGGCAAACTTGGCTTGCTCAGAAAACTCCTTGGGATTAGGAGGAGAAACTACCAAGAAGCTACAAAGCAAATACACAGAAGAATATGCATGGTATAATGTAAACCCAGACCCGAGGAAATGCTAAGAAAAGCAGTCTTTCCAAAGAAGTACAGGAGTGAAGAGAAGTAAGGCAAAGGCAGATGAGGAGCTGCCCACAGTCAACCACTCTGCCAAGCAACCATCGAAGTTTCTACGGTAGAGAAATCCTGAGAAGACATAGACTGGTTCTCCGTGGCTTCAAATACCGTGCATGATCATCAGGCAGCCAGTATTTGGAGACAAAGTACTTAATGGAAATATAGAAACGTGGCAAGTATAGTGGTTCACACCTGTAATCCAGCACTCAGAGAGCTGAGGCAGGGGGAGGATGAGTTTGAGGCCAGCCTGAGAGTATAGCAATGCCCTAACTAAAAACAAAGAAATAAAATACTTTGAACTTCTGGAGTTTTCCAACTTGACTCCACATTAGATGGGTAAGATCCTGGCATTTTCCCATCTCTCTCCCCAGTGCCTATTCTTAAGTCACCTTGTATAACTTTGGGCATATTATTTCTTCACTTCCTTTGGCTTCAGACTTGTTTTTCAATGTATTTCTAGGTAGCTTGGGAATTTAAGAGATTTATGTGGGAGCTATTTTTAAAACATTTTTTCCTGATTATGAAATAATAGATGGTAATTGTAGGAAATTTGAAACTATAACATGGAAAAATTAAAACTGCTTATGACCTCACCTCTCAAAAAAGAACTCATTATTTTAGCATATTTTATTCCGGGTTTTCATTTAGTATTTAAAATAAATTGAGATTTTATTCTCTTTAAATTAGGTTTTGCATATTTCCTTACAACCTTAAAATGTATTTTTAATGGCTGTGTAATAAATACTCCACCATATGATGTGCAGTAATTTATTTGACTGTTTGTTGAGCTATTTTTAAAGCAAGTTAAAGTTTGACCTTGTTTTTCAGAACTTTCTCTTTTACCTCATCCTTGTTGATTGCTGATTTTCAGACATGCAATTCTTGAGGCAAAGCTAGTGAATGAAGCCGGTGTTTTCTGGCAAAATATGTCGTCTGTTTTCTTCCCCCATCCAACACTAGGGGGCGGGCTTTTGCCACTAAGAGCTAAGAGCAAGGTCAGGGCAGAAAGCTTTCTGGGCAAGGGGCTTAAGCCAATAAAGTATGGAAACCTGGAAAACGGAGGAGGGATGAAACAGAAACAGCTAACTGTTCATCGTTTTGTGTTTATTCTGAACAGTTCTTGGCCCAAGCAGCACTCTGCTGTCTTTTGGCATGACCTGTTGGCATTTTATTTTATTATTTGGTTTTGGTTTTTTGAAACAGGTTCTCACTATGTAGCTCTGGCTGCCTTGGAACAGGGTGGCCTTAAACTCACAGAGTTTATCCTCCTCTGCCTTCTGAGTGCTGGGATTAAAGGCATGCACCACCAGGCTTTAATTAATTGTTTTGCTAACTAAATGCTAACTAATTTAATTGTTAGCACTTTATATACAGGAAAGGGACCCTACACACACACACACACACACACACACACACACACACACACACACACACCACTTAGGTTGTGTGCCCTCAAGGAAAAAGAACCCCTCCCCTCTCCTTCTAGCAACGTGGCTCTAATGGCCCTAGGTTAAATGTCAAGGAGGCTTCCTTGGGGCTAAACAGACTTTAGGAATTATCCAGAGACACTGGAGTGTTTCCACCCTGGAAGATTTTTTGTTTTGTTTTGTTTTGTTTTTCGAGACAGGGTTTCTCTGTATTGTTTTGGAGGCTGTTGGTCCAGCCCGGCCTCGAACTCACTGAGATCTGCCTGCCTCTGCCTCCTGAGTGCTGGGATGAAAGGCGTGCGCCACCAATGCCCGGCTCCACCCTGGAAGATTTTAATGAAGAGAGATCCACTCTTTGTGGAATGGAGAAGGTGCTCTTTCAGAGGCTCACCTAGCTTTGTGAGTCTGTGATATGTGTTTGAGGGAATGCTCAAAAAACAGCCACGGCAGCCACAGCCATGATTCTTTCTCATTTCTCTCTTCCACGAGAGCAACTTTTTCCTAGGTACATAACCTCTGATTGGCTGTACTGTGAAGGTTGTTTGAGCACCCCACTCCTTGCTTTTCCTGTGTAGATACCCAAGGGACCCTAGGGAAAGAACTCCACTCCTCTCTTTGAGGATTATAAGAGGCTCCCCCTCTGCCACCCTAGCAGGTTGAGCACTGGAAAAGAGGGTATCTCCAACATGGCAGTAGACTAAACTGGCCTCATTCAGGTGGCTGTCCCCTCCCCAGATTCCCAGATATACATCTCACCTGGAACAGGGCTACACTGGACACTGGGTTGTGGCTTTGAGTCCTCCATCTCCAGCTGGAGCTCATCCAGGTCTAGGTCATCTGAGAATGGAACACAGAAAATGCCTGAGGTCCTGGGTCTTAAGTGTCTGTCATTAAAGCCCCACCTTTGTTTTAACTCACACTCATCTATGCTCACATGTCCCCCTCCTCACGCTCAACACTGTTCATCCGACAGTCCTGCGTATCTATTTCTCCTCTTGTGTGTTGGTATTTGGGTAGCTCCATGTTCTTCACTTGTGGATTTTGTGTATTTCTAGTTCTCTGCAATGAACATTTCACTGTCCGATACTCTGCATTTTCTTGTGCCGAGTCATCTTTAGTCCATGAGTGCTGCTTAGAGTGTGGCTGGTGGTTGCTCTAATAAGGAAAGCTAGTAGTTATATAGTTCTTCCTCTGGCCAGCCTGTCATTGCAATTCCATGTCCTGTTATGAAAACTAAACATTAAGAAGGATGTTGGTGCTGGGCATGATGGGGCATGCCTGTGATCCCAGAATCTGGTGAGTGGAGGCAGGAGGATCAATGGTCCGAGGTCATCCTCATCTACAAAGCAAATTTGAGGCAAGTCTGGGCTTCACGAACCCTCTTTCTCAACAGCAAGCATGAAGGCTTGAGTTCAGACCCTCAGCAGCCACATGAAAGGCAAGCATGGTGGCATGTACCTGCAGCCCTAGCACAGGTAGGACAGGGAAGGGAAGATGGGTTGATGGGGACAGGAGGATCCCTGTATCTCTCTGGCCATGAGCTCTGGGCTCAGTAGGGGATCCTGACTTAGAAAGTAAGGTGGAAAGTAACAGAGGAAGACAAGCAGCATCAACCTTTGACCCTCAGAGCCACATGAATCTACACATACATACATGCACACACACACACAAACACACTCAACCTCTGGCCCTCAGAGTCACACACACACACACACACACACACACACACACACACACACACACACACACACACACACCCCAGAATGGTTTCTGGACTGAGGTTGGTATCTGAGGTTTCAACTGTCTAATCAGCTTCCTCCATCCCAGAGGAGTAAGTAGATGACCCTGCTGTACTTGTCTCCATCTTTGGCTGACATGGTGTGGTTCCTGTGTAGATTCTTTCTCCCCTTTAACAGGTAAACATCTGTTAGGAGTTTCCCTTTAACTGGGACAGCTTCAGGGCAGATGGAAGGCAAAGATGTGCCCACGTAGTCCTGGCCATTTCCTTCCACCTGCCTCCAGAAAGGATTTCCTTTGAAATCAAAATGCATGAATGAAATACAAGGAGCGAAACCCACAGACTCTGTCTGAGGCTGGGAAAGTCACGGTCAAGGTGTTAAGTAACCATTCTTCAAATGAAGAGGAAATCGAATCTGGCTGCAACAGCGGCTCCTGGCTTTCTTTCTGCGCCTTTGCTTTCACAGGAAGTGGGGGGCCCTGCCCTAGCTCCTGTTACAAGCGGCAGGCAGCCCACTAACTCAACAGGCCTGTAGTTCTCCAAGGCCTAAGCCCAGCGGAAAGTTTCACCTTGTGGAAGGAAAATTTCCATTCCTCTTTCCAGCACCCTTTGACTCCCTCAAGGAGTATGCAGTAGACATCCGGGACTGTCCCTGGGGGACAGCCGTCTGCTGGCCCTGCTATTTGCAGTGTTCCTCCTCCTCCTGGGAGTTTGTACCCTCTTTGGGGGCTGCTTCTGCCCTGTTTCCATCCTCTGTGAGGGAAGCTCTCAGACGGTGTAGTACTTGACTTCCATAAGCTGTGTTGTAGATTATACAATGACACTATCTCCACATATGTGTCCCTGACTCTCAAAGCAGTATTGACAAACACACTTTGTCTTGTATGGAACCCTCCAGTCCTCCCTCACAGCCACTGAGAGGTGTATTATCTTTTTTTTTCCCTGAAGGTATAGAAATTAACCTCTGTTTGTAGAATATTAGTTTAAGATATGTACATTTGTTTATGCTGTGAAATATCTGCTTAATGATGCGAAAATGTGTTGCATTCTTTTATGTTGCATTTGTTTAACTATGTAAAGCTGTGTTACTTTGCCTGTCTAAAAATACCTGATTAGTCTAGCAAAAAGTTGAACAGCCAATAGGTAGGCAGCGGAGAGAAGTAGGTGGGGCTGGCAGGCAGAAAGAATAAATAGGAGGAGATATCTAGGTTCTAGAAGAAGAGGGAGGAGTGAGAAAAGGAGAGGAGGATGCCAGCTACTCAGCCACACAGTCAGCCCACAGAGTGAGAAGTAAAGAAAGATATATAGATTAAAGAAAGGTAAAAAGCCCAGAGACAAAACATTGTTGAAGAGAAACGGGATAATTTAAATTAGAAAGGCTGACTAAAAACAAGCTAAGCTAAGGCCAGACACTCATAAGTGAGAATAAGTCTCTGTGTATTTATTTGGGATCTGGGCAGTGGGGCTGAAAGGAGTGAAAAAACAACAACAACAAAACTACAAAACTCAGGTTAAGGCATGTTGAAGCCAACCCAAATAGTACATGGTATAGCTGGGTTTAGACTGAGTTCTGTCTACACCATCACACTAGCATGAGGCACTGTAAATGCCTCATGTAGTCTCATGTAGCCCAGACTAGCCTTGAACTGACTCTGTAGATGACAATGACCTTAACATCTGATCTTCCTGCTTGCACCTCTGGAGTCCTGGATTCCAGATGTGCAGCAGTACCACACTCAACTTCAGATTTAATGTTTTTTTCCTGTTAAACTTCTCTGTGATATTGGGGGAAGTTCAAGATGGAAAATGAAATTCAACAGGCAGTACTCCTTTCTCTATGCTAACTCTGCTTGAGGTTGGGAACACAGGGCCTGGGAAGAGCACCACACTCTTCTTTCCCCTTTCCTAAGATGTCCTTTATAGACAACCCCTCGCAACTCCCTGGCTGCCTACCTCCAACTTTCTTTTCATCCCAACTCTTCCAGAAATAGACATAACTGGCCCAAGACAACCTGTGCACTCAGCAGGGCTATGTGCTCAGTGGCCACTCAAATTTCACATTTGAGCTCATAGGAAGAATAGAGGCAAAGGGCATCCAGCCTTGGGAGCGATAATCCCTGAAATGTTCCATTTAGCTGCAGGACATAGTGTAAGGTATTTTCCCCCACTGGACACAGGTTTAATTCAATTCATTTAATCCTATTCTGTTTGACTCAGTTGATGTGCTCATCAATCACCTTCTCAAAGAGCACCAAAGGGTGAAGGCCCGCGTGCTGCAAGGAGGCAGCCACTAAGATGAAGCGAGTAACCCATGGGGCAGGGGGATTGAGAGAGGTGAGGGCACTGCAAAGATCAGGAAGCTGTTGACACCCCAGCTTCCTTCCTTATGGTCTGTTTTTTCCAACCAGCATTCTTGAGTGTGCAAGCAGTGGGACAGTTCCTTCCAGGTCGCACAAATCCCCACTAATACTTCTCTAACCTCTCTTCAAGATTCCTCTCCAGAGCCCTGGGACACTCATGCCAGGGTCTCCAACTACTTACAGTGGCTCTCAACTTGTCCAGCAAGGAGACCCAAGGGCCTCTTTGGTGCCTCTTCTTCCTCCAGGTGAAAGTCCTCGGTCTGCCACTGCGCAGAGGTCTTGAAGAAGCTGGCACAGATGCCATAGGCACAGCACTGGTAGGCATAGGGCACCTCCAGGATCCTAGGGTAAGGAAGAGGCTGTCTTGGTGTGTTTGGGATCTAAGACCTCAGTGTGGATGCCCTCAGCAGCTACTTTTCAACCCCAAAGTGCCCTGCTCCCTCTATGCCAGTGGTTCTCAACCTTCCTAATGCTGCGGCCCTTTAATACGACTCCTCATGTGGTGACCCCCAACCATAAGATTATTTTCGTTGCTACTTCATAACCGTGATTTTGCTACTGTTACAATCGTGATGTAGGTATCTACATTTCCGGTGGTTTTAGGTGACTCTTGTGAAAGGGTTGTTTGACCACTTTGGGATAGAGACCCACAGGATGAGAACCACTGCTCTGAGCTTTTCTTTAGATGAGTCTTGAACCTGATTCCTGACCCCAGAGGGCTCTGGAGAGATTGTAGTCTTCTCATCCCTCATCTTAACTGAGATGACCTTCTGCCTATTGATTTAGAAGTCCCCCACAGCAGGCTCAGAGTTGGGGTGATCTCCCCAGGTCACACAGTACTCAGGGTGCTCTCTCCTCCTTGGCAGTGACTCTTTAATGTTTAAGAAGGCAACAGTGAGGCAGGGGCTGGCACTTGACTTAGCGATGGAACACTTGCCTGGTGTGAACAAGGCTCTTGGGTTTGATCCCAAGTGATGGGGAAAAGGGCCATGGGTTCTTTTTGTTTTCTTTTTCCCTTTCCCTATTTTCTGTCTTTTCTTTCTTTCCCCTCTCTTCCTAGCCTTCCCTTCTTCTTTAAAGACAGGGTCTCATGTGGCCTAGGCTGACCTAAACGCCACCTGTAGCCAAGGATGACCTTGAACTGTCCATCTTCTTTCTTCTACTACCCATAAGTACAAGGGAGACAGTATTTACCCTTGGGCAAGGGTTCGGCTACTGTGTCGGACCATGCACAACATCTACCTTCCTTTCATTATGTTTCAGTGTGTCAGTGCATGCTCCTATATATGCCGTGCAGAGACCAGAAGAGGGCATCCCATGTCCTCCTCCATCACTCTCTGCCTATTCACTTAAGACAGTGTTTCTCCCTGCCTCTGCCCTCCTCAGAGCTGGGATTACAAGCGTGTTTGGGGTCTTGGCTTATTTTATATGAGCCAAGATTTGAACTCCCATCCTCATAACTACACAGCAAGAACTCTTAACCACTGAGGCATCTCTCCAACCTCTCTTACTTTTTTTTTAAAGCAAAGATCTCCCCAGTGATTCTTTACCCTTGTCTTCTGTGAAACCAACACCCTGTCCCCTCCCCAGCTCCTAGAATAGCAGAACTGGGTTTTGTACCCTCTGAGGGTGAGGACAGATGCCTTGGGCATCTCGTTAGCTTGCAGCAGACAAAGCTCGGGCCACACAGGCTGCACGGCTGCCGCCACTACATGAAGGAAGCCTGGATGTCATTAGCACCAGGGACTGGCTGTGCAGCTTGTTTTCCATTCATCAGTGCCCTGGGCTCTGCCCTGATTCTGTGCCTCAAATGGTGCCTAAGTAAGGATGGGACAGCCTGGCTGTGCAGAACCAGACAAGGAAGGAATAAGGCGGTTCCAGAAGTCTCTACATCAGCTCACTTCTTTCCCCACAGGCCCCTGTGGCCCTTAAGTTGGTGGTTGGGATAGGGAGAGGAGGTGGGGAGGGCAGAGTCATGTCCCTAGGTAGCTGACATGAGGGCCAACTCTGAGCTACCAGGCTATTCTCGGTGTGAGATCCTGTGACTTTTTCAGTTTCTCTGACTTCAAGATGTCTGGGACACACCTCCTCCCTTGGGGCAAGTCATGCTCTCACCTCAGTTTTGGGAAACTGTCCTTGGAGAAGGCCTGAGACAGGGCCAGGTTCCCTTTGAGCTTCAGGTGCATTAGGCCCCCTAGGCCAGCCAGGGGCAGTGTGGTCAGCTGGTTGTCAGTCAGGTCCCTAGGACAGTGGATGATCAGGGTTATTGGCAGTCAGTGGGACTGCTGAGGGGACAGGGCTTTGTTGAGGGTGTGGCCAGGGTGCCTGGGATGAAATCGAGAGGGAAGGAGCAAAGAACAGAAGATAAGTACAGGGGAGACAGCACCCCGGGGCAAGGGCGCTGAAGACAGCTCTAAAGACACCCTCTATGAACTCGGCCTTCCACTCGTTCAACAAAGCTTGGGTGGCAGCTATGTATGAGGGGTGCTTTTAACTTAATGTCAAATTGTCCCAATCTACATGTAACAGAGCCCTACAACTGTGGCTGCTGTGTCTGCGTCCCATCCAGGAACTCTTGCTCACCCTCCTGGGAGACCTCTCTGCTCTTTGCCTGTATCCCATGCATTCCCTTCACTTCTCTGATGATGGAATAGGTCAGAGTCAGGCAGAGTGGGACAGAGTTAGTCATCCAGCCCTAAGCAGGCATTGGATCACCCATTCTGCCTTGCAGAACCTGCCTAGTAGCCAGAGGTGAGGGCATACACAACTTCCCCTGGAGACATCATTAGACTAGGCCAGGAATCCAATGCAAACACTAGGACCACAGACTGTGCGTCGTGGAAACAGCCCTGGACTGGCAGGCAGGAAACCTGGCACTTTTGCCAGCTCACTGTGTAACCAAAGGGAGTCACGAATCTGCCCAAGTTCCAATGGCCTCATCGTTCAAAGAATAAAAATATCTGTCCTACCTATCTGGCAGGAGTATAGCAGAGGGAAGAGGGAGGTGAGACTTTTACAAGGCCAAGGCCCAGAGGCCGGAAAGCCACAGTCTAGGGAGGGGGGACTGCATGCCACATGGGAGTCATGGACAAGTCCTTAAGCAGGCTACTCCTCATAGAAGTTGGAGATGTTAGTAGTGTCAGTGGCAGGGTAATATCCAAGGCCAGAGCTGGAGCTAGTCTCCAGGAGTCTGTGTTAGTCAGAAAGGGACCCTGTGTGGGTGGGAATGCCTTTGGCAGGCGAGCAGGCAGGTAGGATGCCAGCTTCTCCTCGGGCAGAACCCATGTATAGTTAATAACCTGCTCCACAGTGTGTGACAACTAGGCTGGAGGCCCCTTTCAGCCTGACACAATGACCATGCACCAGACCATCATACTCTGCTTGAATCCTATGTAACTTAAAGATTCCATGGCTCGCTGAGACCCCGAGTACTCTGTCATCCGCCATCCTCTTGAACTGAGAAGTTTAGGCACATATGCTCTCTCTATTGGTGCATGTGGAGGAAAGAGAGGCCAGGGTAGACATGAGGAAGTGGAACACGATGAGGACTGAGGCTGCCAAAACATTGCAGAACATCAGCAGATGATAGTCCAGGGCTTGCAGGCAGCAGGTTCCCTGTTTACAAGGCCTCACAATGTGTCAAACACACTGTTGGAATGATTGATTAGGCTGCCCAGGCTTCCCTGTGATGTGTGATGAAACATTTATACAAGTCCCTGCTCAGTGGTGGCCCTCCTGTACCACAGTCCTGACTGGTCCCCAGCATCCTGGGAGAGAGTTCAAGGTGTACTTACAGCTTAACCAATGAGTGCAGGGTTGAGAAGGCCTCAGGGTGGATGGCCCGGATGGCATTCCAGCTCAGGTCTCTGTGAGCAGAAAGCATGAGGTAGGAGAGGGCAGAAACACATGGGGAATGCATTGGGCCTATCCTGGGCCTATCTTGGGCTTTCTCTCACATACTTTCCATCTGACCTTCTGAAGAGGCAGAGTGGCAGAGAGATACCTTAGCCTTTTGAGGAGGATTCCTACTGCTGCCTAGTTCCCAACCTGACTGTTGCAACCGGAATGGGGCCATCACATCTTGGCTCTAGAGTCTCAGAAATTCCTGGGTAATAGCTAGAGAAGGGGTCTGCATGACTGTCTGGATAGGAAAGTGCCTCTCATGTGTGTGTGCATGTGTATATGTGTGTGTGTGTGTGCACATGAGTGTGCCTATGTGTGTGTGCGCGCGCACGCGCATATGTGTGTGTGTGTTTGTGTGTGAAGGGGCTGTGGAGAAGAAATACACATACATGTCATGAATGCTTAAACTGGACATGTGCTATGGGAATGGGTTTGGAGGGGACATGGGGTCCTCCAGAATGCACCCCTGGGTGTCACAGGTACTCACAAAGCTTGTAAGGAGCTCAGCTGGCTGAAGGTGTCGGCACCAATTTTCCAGATCCGGTTGTGTTGGAGGCCACTAGGGCAGCAAGAGAGACTAGATGAGCCTGTAGGCCCAGACTCTGGCTCTGCTCCATGCCCCTCAAGCATTGGAAGGAAGAAAGGAGAGCCCCCCACTTCTGCTGGCACAGGAAAAAAGGCCCAGCCCGCGGAAGTCACCAGAATTAGAGGGAGCACAAGGGGATCCGGTTGCCTTGGGTAAGTGGGTCAGGAGACAAAGCCACAAAACCATCCCTGTGGCCCTAAAGGGAGTCCGCTTCTAGGGTTCCCACCGGGCCTGGCTTCCAGCCCAGCTGAAGTGCTCCCCACTTTCCCCCACGGTCATGGGTCCTCTAGACCCTAGCCTAGCCACAGAGCATGCCCAGCCCCTGGATAACCAAGTGACTGCGTTGAGACGAGAGCAGAGTTCAGTAGACTAATGGTCTGAATGGGAGATCGATCCTGGACTCCAGCAATATTGAAGACAATGTCACCCAGACAAACAGGACAAACCCAGATATATCTTCCCTGACATGGCCCCATAAGGCATCTGCCCTGCCTAGAACCAGGGGCAGCTATGAGGATCTCAAGAGGCCATAGCAGTGGAGGTGGGCAAAGGGGGCTCAGGGAAATTTTAAAGTGAGCTTCACAAGGGAAGCTGGAGGACCATGCATAACCATGTATTATCTATGTGTTCATGAGCACACATATATGTGTGAAGGTTGATGGGTTGTGGAACAGGAGAGCACATGCTCCAAAACCCAGGGTTCTTCTAGTTCCTCTGAAGACTTCTTGTGTCTCACACAGACAGTCTTGGTGATCCTGCCCCACCACTGGTTCTGATCACAACTGCATTTTGGTGCTGTTGTTGACTCAGGAGCTATCCAGAGATCCCTTTGGGCACCCATTCCTAGCAATATCATCTGCCGCGAGTCCTATGGGATGTGCCCATGCCTTATTGAGTTCCCAGCCGTCTGGGTCCAACAAACTGAAGAGAAAGAGGGGTTAGAGTATGTTTTAGCCCCGGGACCCCCTCCTCACAGGCCTCCCTTGCATGTCTTTTCCCCTAGGAGTCCCCAGACTTACATTTCCTCCAACTTCTGACACCTGTGCAGGCTGGGCAGCTCTTCAATCTGATTATGGGACAGCTCCCTGCAGAAGAGACAGAACCCAGCTCAGGGTGAAATGGTGGCTGTGGGAAGGTGGGGGACAGGGGCAGGAAACATCTTCTGTGGTCAGGCCTGTGCTTTTCTGTCAAGAAGTTGACGGTCACGAGGACCCTGAAGGAACATAGTATGACCATCTCATGGTAGAGTACCAATCTCCACCATTAGATTTCGCTACCCTCCTCCCTGCTAAGCCCTGCTCCCTTACTGAGCCTAGATAGAACCAATTTGGCTTTTTGTTTTTCAGCAGGGCTGCCTTAGTAACAGGTAATTCTGCAGAAACCTTGGAGCATCCTGGGGAAAATGGAATATAAAATGAGTGGCATGGAGATGAGGAGAGAGGCCAAAATTGGGGCAGTCAGTAGGAAATACAGGCATTCCTGAGCAAGATGTCAATGTCACCCATGGAAGTAGCACCCCATGGAAATTGTGCTTCTAACCACCATTTATGGAGCTGGCATGGAAGAGAAGTGCTGCGAGCCCTCAGAAACATCTGGCCCAAGCCTTCCTTTAGGCAGGAAATATGAGGCCTAGGACCTCAGCATAGAACCTGCCCAAAGACTCACTGCCAGTTAACAGAAAATGGGTTTAGAGCCCACATCTCCAGATATCAATGTAGCAATCCTGAGCTGTTTGGAAGAGCTATAGGGATAAGTCTAAGTCTGAAGTTAGAATATATGCGGTAAAAAAAAACTGGAGCAACTTAACTATCTTCAGGACACCAGAGCAATAAGCTCTCTTGCCAAAATTATGCCATTTTGAGACTCTACTATATGCTATGTTCATTAACAGAGGCTGTTTTCAAGTCTCCCCAACTGAGTCTTATTTGAAAGGAGAGACTGAAATTCAGAGACGAACATAGCTAGTGAGAAGCAGACTTGGTCTCAAACCACCCGGATCCGACTCTGGTGACCAAAGTCCTTTATATTGAACAAGAGAGGACAGTCCCTCCCAAACAGATTCTCAGCAGCACTCCGTGTTGACCATTCTCCAGAAAGAGATGTGACCGAGTACGACAGAAGCAGAAGAGGCTTTTGTGGGGACACGGGGCCAGGGGTACAATGCCAGGACTGTAGAATGCTCATGAGCCACTCACAGGATTCGGAGCCTAGGCAGCTGTTGGCACATTCCCGGTGGGAGCAGCCGGATGCCTGCTCGGGTCAGGGTCCTGCAGGGAGAAAAGAGACAGACCTGGCATCAGGCCCAGAGCCCTGCCATTCCCAGCCACCCGTCTCTAGCACTGGACCTGATACTGTCTGTGGGAGGACAGAGCCGACAGGATAAACAGGGCAGGGGTGGGGCTATGGGAACAGAAAGTAGCCTGCCCCCTCATCTGAGTGATAAGCTCCCCGGGCCTTTGGAAGCTGGGTTGGGAAGTAGAGAGAAATCGGGTCCCGGTCGGTAGGTTCTGCTTGTCCAATGATCCGTAAAGATCCAAATCTACTCATATACCTACACCTCTCGTAATGGTCCCTCCAACACTGGGACATAGAGACTAAATCTTCCCTGCTCTCGGGGCCTTAGAGGGGAGGGGCAGCCATGGCAATGAGTAGCTAGGAAACAGCTCCAGTGGGACCATGGGAACACAGTACAGGCTTTTCTCCCTGTGGCTGGGGGAGGGAAACAAGATGGAAAAAAGAGAAGGACCCAAGGCTGGGGTGCAGAGGGTTGGGAGGGCAGATTGGAGAATGGGTTTGGATTAGGCACAGGGTAGCCCTAGAAAGACTCCAAGGTCAAGGTCGTCCTTGGGAAACGACTATTAATTTCATGGAAAATTTCCACACGCCACTGAGCTAGGAAGAAGACAAAGGAAGCACAGAAAAGAGGGCAGTCCCAGCAGAGCCATGAATGAGTTGTGTGGTGCGGGCAGGGAGCTGACTTCCTAACATTCACATGGGGTGCCTACTTGTTCCGTTTTCATTCGTTTACTATGTTTCGAGGGCCTACTATGTTCTTATCCCTGGACACCAAGGAATTTATGGGCCTATTATATACTTATCCCAGGATCCATAGTATAGCATAGAGACATTAAGAAAGGCTGTTTTGGAACCAAGCCTCTCGAAGTCAGAGGAAATGGGTTTCACAATCCTGCTCCCATCCTGTGTCCTCATGCACCATGGCTCAGGATTAGGAGCTCTGAAGCCAGACCTGACAATCTAAGCACAACAGAGGGATGCCAGCCTCCTCCCCACATCCTGCTGCCCCTGCCTTGCCTGGAGGCAGCACTACATCTGGAGATGGCCAAGGCCCTGGGGCTGAGCCAGTAGTAGAGGCAGACTAGAAGAGGGGTAGCAGGAGAGCATGTGGCCTGGGCAGCCTTCCAGATGAAGGGAGGTGGAAGAGTCCCTGGTGGAGGGAAGGGGGATCCACTCACAGGATCTCCAGGCTAGTGGTGCCTTTGAGGTCTGGGAACTCCTGGATGTCAGTGGCACCATTCAAGGATCTGAAAACAGAGAAAACAGACTCTGGAGGGCGAGTGAGTCAACATCTGTGCTCTCAGCCTTGGCCTTCTGCTCTACCTTTTTGGGTAAATGACATCTTCCCCAAGCCTCCTTCAAATTAGCCACTCTGGCCCTGTTAGAAGTTAAGTCATGTTTATCAGGGTCCAGTAATTTGTTTGCTTTTTGAGACAGAATCTCTCTTTTATATAGTTCTGACTGGCTGTCCTGGAATGCACTACATAGACCAGGCTGGCCTCTAACTCACAGAGATCCACCTGTCTCTGCCTCTTGAGTGCTCACCAGGCCCATTTCCCTCAATCACTTTCTTGAATTGATACAGTCCTGCCAAGCCCAGAAGTGCTGAGATGGAGCCCATGGACTCCCAGCATTGAGGCTTTGGCTTGTAAAAAGACAAAACAAAACTCGCACAAGGGACATGGGAAATGTTCCGTGTTGTCATTGTTCAATCTTGAGATGGGGTCTCCTGCAGCTCAGATTGGTTTCAAACTCATTCTATAGCAGAAGTTAGCCTTGAACCCCTGATCCTCCTACCTTCACCTCTGGAACACTAAGATTGCAAATATGTACCCCACTCCTGGCAAAGGTGTTTATTTGAAAAGGCAAGTGTTGAGAGTAATGTCACATGCCTTTAACCCTAGCCCTTGTAGAGTAGAAGCTAGACGATCAGGAGTTGAAGGCTAGCCTTGGCCACGTGAGACCCTGTCACAAACAGGGTCACAAACAGTGTGTGAGAGATCCTGAGGAGGCAGAGTGGCACCTGACAATGAGCCCAGTAATGGAAGTTAAGGGCCTGGGCTCAAGCCTGTTCAGTACCTGAGCACCTCACGTTTCATCGGTGACATGGACTGAAGTGCCAGTCTCACAGGTTGGGATGAGAGGAAATGCAACTGGAAACATGAGAAGGAAACACATGCCTGGAGGAGGTTAGCTGTGCAGAGTGGGGAGTGAGGCCACAGCGAGCTGCGAACAGTTCATGGAAGCATCTTTTTTTTTTTTTAAGAAGTAGGCGGGGCCTTGGGCTTGGAATTAGAAGAGTCGGGGAAGGAAACAAAGGACTGCCTTCAGGCTCAGCCTGGGAAAGATGGCATCGGAAGCTGTGCCACAAGCCACTGGAGAAGCAGCCTGAAGGACACACAGAATCCAGAACTGTCCGCTGTTTTCCCTGTGGGTATGTAGAGAGCAACTACCACAAGCCAAATAAAACCAAAGAGGTCAAAGAAGTGTCCACAGGTATGAAGAAGGGCTCTCTTCATCCATGTGGGATATGGGAAGAAGCTAAGGCAGAGGGGGACCATTAAGCATCAGGGGACCTGAGGGTAGGCCTGAGCAAGTGTTATGTTTAGAGCCCCCTTCCAGCTGAGCTGAGGGCAGGAGAGGGCAAGCAGGGGGGAACAGGGGAGAAGTCCTGAGGGGAGCTCCAAGCAGCAGCCTCTGGTGCCCACTTACAGTGTGTGCAGTTTAGACAGGTACTGGAACGCCGACCTTCCCACAAACTGGATTGGGTTGTCATAAAAATGTCTGGAAGAAAAAGACCCAAGCCCCAGTTCAGATGTTCACTTCTTTTCAGTTCCCTACTCTCCTGGGTGGAGACGCAAACTGGACAACAGCCCTCCCACATTCCTGCCTCCCTGGCTCTCTCTGGCAGCTTCCCGTCTATCAGCCTCCATCCTCTGAAAGGCACAGCAGCCCGAGCAGGTGCGGTACTCACATTGTCTGCAGAAGGGGGTTGCCCATGAAGGCCTTCTCTGGGATAGCCTTGATGTTGTTATTGTGGAAACCCCTGAAAGACAGCACCCAGGAGCAGTGAGGACTGGGAGAGAGGTGTAGAAAGGAAGAACATGGAGCTCCACAGGGCTTACTTTCTGACTGCTGACTAGATAGGTCCTGAGAGCAAAGGGACCTCAGCCTGGAAATCTCAGCCTCCAGTCCTGCCAGGGAATTTTCTTCTCTCTTCAACAATATACTCACCCTGCATGCTCTCTCTCTCTCTCTCTCTCTCTCTCTCTCTCTCTCTCTCTCTCTCTCTCTCTCTCTCTCTCTCTCTCTCTCTCTCTCTCTCTCTGTGTGTGTGTGTGTGTGTGTGTGTGTGTGTGTTGGGAGGGAAGTAGGAACAGCTCCAGAGTAAGTAGTTGAGCTCAGGTCCTAAGGAAGGAAACCACTCCTCCTTGGTCATGTGCGGCAGGAGCCACGGTACGTCCCCACAGAGGAAGCCAAGGGTGTGTGGAAGGTAAAGGAGCATACAGAAAGAAAGAACATCCAGGGGATCCTGAATGGGGGAGGTGCTTCCTGAAGTAAAGAAACACAGAAGGAAGAGAGCAGCAGAGGCGGGGAAGGAGCAGAGTCAGGTGTTAAATGACCACAGATGGCATCTGTGGATGGTGAACAGTGAAGCGCCCCACCACGTTTCTGGGATCTGGAAGCCAAGAACAGTGTGTTTAGGCTGCTGTGACACTTTCCCAAGAGCAACCCACTGGACTGAAACCGCACAGCCCCAGTCTGAGCACTCTGCTCAATTCTTGCCATCTCCTGTCCCACCATTCCTTTCAATCCTACGCTCTGTCACTCAAGGTTCATCCACAGATATCTCTGGCCAGTGCTACCCACCAAGGCTTGTTACTTCCTTCATTCCTTCTAGACGTCCTTTTGTGTATTGGGCTAAGTCAAGCTTTGAGAAGTTGAGCGATTTAGATAATAGAGGCCCTGTGTGCAAGCAGCTTTCTCTCATGCATGCGTGGGTGGGTGGGTGGATGGATGGATGGATGGATGGATGGTAGATGGATGGACTAAAATCTAAATGTGTAGGGTTTTTTTTGCAGAAAAAGTCATGAACCTTCATGTCCCCTTAATTGGATTCCAGCCTAGTTATATGTTAGACTTCTGAGGTCACCGAGCATCAAGGTTGGTATCCCTTTTGTGGTCATCCTATACCTTAACCACTTCCTGTCAGATCTGCGCTTGCACTGCTCCACTGACCAAAATACCTGTCCTCTTTCACCATCATTTCCACCTGAATCCCACTCATCCTTTGGGAACAGTCTCAAGTGACCTCAGTCCATAGTGAGATGCTGCTACTCTGAATTTCCACAGCTATTTTACCAACTTACTATACCACAATTTAAGACTGCAATTTGACGTTGCTTTGTCCTGTTCCTGTTTCATGACTGCTCCTTTGTGTCATGGATGGGGTTGAAAGATCCTTTTTAGAGGATCCCATGTCTATCTTACACTTGGTTTGTATTAACAACAAACACAGAACCCAATCTAGTGAGTGTTCAAATATAATAATAAATGGTTGAGAAAATGAGATGGCCCAGCAGGTAAAACGTGCTTGCCATGCAAGCCAGGCAACCTGAGTTCGATACCTGGAACCTACATAAATATAGGAGAGACTGGCTTCATAAAGTTGTCCTCTGACCTCCACACATGTGCTATGGCATGTGCACCCCCACACATACATACATCATGCATACACATGATAATAGTAATAAATGCAGTGGGGCTGTCAAATGAATTTCTCGATCCTTCTAGAGATGGTAGTAAAGAGTGACCCTATAAACCAGCCCCCAGTTCCTCTTCTACTTCTTCTCCAGACATAGACAGGGCAATGCCAGGTCCAAGCTTTAAGAGGTGGTTTCTTCCATGTATGCTCCCAGGCTTGAAGGACCCAGAGCCATTTATGCTGATGATGCACCTCCAACAAATGTTCAAAGCCAAACTCCAAATGTTCAAAGTCCAAGAGCTGTGACTACTGAGGGCTGCTCCGGGACAATGGGGGGTTTCCAGTCACAGCTTCCATAAGGACCAGTCACAAGGACTACGGGAGGTGATTTGGTGAGTTAGCTGGCCTCTGCCCCTTCGAGAAGCAACCCCAGAACACACCAACAGATCTTACAGTTCCTGCAGCCTGCCCAGGGTCCGGATGGCCACGGGGAATTCTTGCAGCTCATTATAGTTCAGGTCTCTGGAATGGAAAGCGGAGCAGTCATTAGCTCAGAGGCTTAACAGGGCATGTCAGGGTCCCTGAGACATGGAAACTTGGCTAGAGGGTTGGCCCGGGAGATGGGTTTTCCAATCTGTTGGACCCAGCTGCCAAGGTCTGAAAACACATTTTCTGAATGTTTGTACTCCATTCCTACTCCACAAATCCTCAGGCTTGGAGCCTTCCTGGCAGCAGAACTGTTTTGAGTGGGGACACGTTTTTAGGGGTGTGCTTATCTGGAACTGCCTACCCCAGATTAATCTCTATAAAGCTCAGGAAAGTCTATTTTAGGTCTTTGAATTCATCCCTAATTCTCCCATTAGGGATGGAAGAAAAGAGAGAAGGAAGTGATCTTTAACATGTTACTAGCTCTGGTGAGTCTAGAAAGTTCTTCGGATTACAGCCACCTTGGCTATGGCTCTGCTGTTTTGAGATGGAATCTCCCTGTGCGTTTCAGCTGCCTTAGACTTTCGATGCTTCCGCCTGAGACTCCAAAGTGTTGGAGCTACCGTTGTGTGTCATCATGCCTGGCTGGTTTTTACCTTTAACAGTGGCAGGCCAACTAATCTTTACTTTCTCTTCATTTTGCAGCACTCTCCATTTTTTCTTTTAACAAAGGAACACATGTCACATGCATAATCAGAAAACAAGGAAAGAAAGTTTTTTTAAAGGGGTGGCAAGGACTAAGGAAAGCAAGCTCTGGAATAAACTGATTGTGTACAACTTTTAACAATTTGATATCTTTCTGAATTGAAATTCACGTAGTCAGGCTCTCTTACATCCATTACCCTACAGAAAAGTCCGTTCCTGTGTGTGAAGATAATTGTATAAAGACACTCATAATAGCGCCCTTTTAGGTACTAGAGGTCAAACACTGACTGAACCATAAGCAATCGCAGCCCCCGCCCCCACTCCTTCAGGGGACTTTTTGGTTTGTGCCCTTGAGCAGCAGTAAAAAGGTAAAGGGAGGAGAAATGGGGCAGGCTGAGGGGTAACTTTGTTTTCATCGGAAACTCAGAGATGCGGGTGACAAGGAGATACACCCAAAGGCAGGTGACAGCTGCAGAAAGAGCAGGAGCTTGAGCTCTGAGAGGAACTGTGAAGAATGATAGCTTCTATCTCTCTGACAACTTGTGTAGCTACCTCTCCCCCCCTTTTTTCAATTCCTTTCGTTGCTTTCTGAGAAAAGCCTTGGAGGACCTTCTAAAATGTTGCCTCATTGTATGGTAGGATTCCCTTGTCTGTCAGGGTGGCCACAGACTTCAGAATAGACAACAACTCTCAAAAAATCAGCTTCAGTCTTGGCACTCAGTAGCCAATGAATTAGTCTGTGTATGATGTGCCTGATTTGGGGTTGGGGTGTCTGGATGCCTCTAAAATCCTGTTTCTGAGGTATGCAGTCCCAGGCTTTGGAAGTATGTGAGGGTATCAGTTCCTGAGATATCTCTTGACCCTTTCAGAAAGAGCCCCTAGTCCATCTTTTCAGCTTTTTAAATCCATCCCTGCCCGGACAACTTTAACGGTTGACCAAGGCCACAGCAAAGGACTATGTGAAGGTCTTTTAATTGCAAGTAGCTTGGCAGAGTTTTGGGGATAAATACCATGTTAACACAGAGATAATGACAGGCTATTCTGCATGGGAGGGTCATTACACTTAATAGGCCACAGGTAGAGCCAGGAACCCATCCTAGGAGGACAGAGGAGCAGTGACAAGCATCTGGCAGTCAGTGAGCTAGATAACTGTCCCCCTCTACACACAGGCTAATTACGCATTACCCTCAGACTGCCCTATCGATCGATCATGGGTAATTAGACCAGAAAACCCCTCTGCCCTGCTCCATCCTTTAGTAAGCCAGACATGTTGGTCTCCCATGTCTCACAGTTTGATTTGCTCACAGAGATGCTCCCACAGCCTGTGTGAGGGCAAGGCTGAGGGCAAGCCGTGTGCAGGATGACTGAAAGCAGCAGTACTGGAAGCAAGGGCACTTTCCTAACTGTGGGGTTTTCAGAGTTCTCCCAAGGACTGCACAAGTCACCCAGTGCATCAGGTGAGGCGTGCCGAGGTTGCAGACAGCAGGGGAAAGAGGCAGACACTTTTGTGGTCCTCAACTCCAGGAATGGTGTATTGTTACATCTCAGTGTTTCAAAACAAAGAGCGCCCTTTTATCTTGGTTCAGGTCCCTTAGGAATCCTTCACTGTTGCCCACAAAGAACTATATTTTCCAGAAATAAAAAAGATGTATCTTTATTCAAAATGTGTCATGTGGGATATTAATATTAATCTTAGAGATGATGGAATTATCTCCAACAAAAAGAATTGCAGTGGTCTAACCTGAGACCCTTTGGTTGCTAACTCTTCCCTCTACCTGGAATATCCTGCCCCCAGATATTTGTGTGGCCTATTTGCTTACTTCTCTCAGCCCCTTCCCTGATTGCCCTCTTCAGAGACGCCTTCTCTGACTAGTGGATTTCAAACGCACCCTGTACCTCCCCACACCTTTGTACTACACAGCAACACACCTCAAACCTCTCGGGATCCCCTCAAATGCAGCATGGCATAGCTGGTTCATCTTCACGTATCACTGCCTCAAAGCCAAGTGCCCCTCTTGGCTCAATTCCTTCAGAAACCTTCAATTTTGCCCACAAAGGATTACATTTTTCATAAGTAGCAAAGATGTGTCACTTTGAAGACGTGCCGGGTCTTTTCAATGGCAGTGACCAGGACAAGATAGAAGTCATATGGCATGACCTGGTCCTAAGTCATAAGAGCCTAGCAGTCTCAGCTTTCACAGCCTAGGAATCCTCACTCCACATTGTAAGGAAGTCCAAACTGAACTCATGGGTGGTGAGCTCTGTGGAGAGGAGAACTGACAGTGAACAGTGAGGCTGCCAGTTAGTGAGTGAGGCTGAGCCTTACTCCAAGCAGACCCTTTAGCGCTTTTGAGCCTCCAGTGACTATAACCTCCTGAATGAGCCCAGGAAGCTTAGCCAGGCCATGGGCTCACAAGAAATAATAAGGTGTTATTTTAGGACACTAAGTGATTGGAGTGATTTTTTTTATGTCACAAGAGACATCCTGCTTTCTTTCTTTATTTTCTTCATACCCAACCAGAACAAAAGCTCCTTGAATGCAAGAATTTTGTCTGTTTCACATTTTAAACACCAATAATATCTGACACAGAGCAGGACCTCAACATCTATGTGTTGAATGAATAATTGAAAAGCTCTAAACAAGCTTATTAATATTTTTTCAAAGAATCAGTGAACTCATGGGAATCCACGGTAATTTGAAGCATATTCTCCAGGTTTTTTTAGGTTGTTGTCAAAATGACACAGGATAGTCTGGAGTGACAGTTGGGGTTACCCTGAGCCACAGAGACCATGGAATGTGTCCTGTGTGGCTTTGTTCTCATGGAGCACTTATACAGCTCATTGGACCCATGTCCGGGCTGCCAAATTGAGTGGTTCCAGTTCTCCTTGGCAGTTTTTGGTCAGGAACTTTGCCAGGAGTAGACAGACAGTGGGAAAAGGCTATTTTTATAGAGAAATGTGGGAGAAGAAAAAAATGTGCAGATGTCCAAAAGAACTCTGCAAACTCCTTACTAGTGAGGTGGCCGCATTGGGACGTCTACATAGACTTAGTGACCTGAGAAGTTGCCAAATCTAGCTTTGTTTGGTGCCATGTAGATGGAATCTAGCTCTGGTTGTTCAGGGACTATGCTTGTAACCCTCTTTGCACCCAATGAATTCAACTCAATCAATAGGCACATGTTGCCAAACGTCCCGACACACACAAAGAACTCTGCTGTGCAGTGTGGAGGACAGAGATATGGAAAAAAAGCACACCTGTCTAGACAAATGCACACGACAAGATGAGCTCTCTCAGTTCGATGCTGCAGGTCCTGAAGAGTACACAGAGCACCGGGACTGCCACATACCTGGAGAGACCACATCTGGAGGACCGTGTGGAAATGGGATATCTGAACTAGGTTTGAAGAACACAACTCCCAGATGAACATTTTGGAGAGAAGTAAGTGGTATAGCTCAACTGAAGCAAACGGAGATACATAGAGGGAAGGGAAGCTCACACTCATGGATTGTCACGTATTATCCCTGCCTTCAGGCCACAGATAGGACAGCATTGGCTGGGCACTCACTATGGTGCTTTGACTGAATAATCATCACCCTCTCACAGTCTGGAGAGGGGTTCTCTTCCTACACCATTTTTTTATCAGTTGAGCATACTAGTTGCTCAATCATCAGTACCTAGCAAGTGACTCTGGTGGAGATGACTGGCTATTTGCCCAGGTTCCTCTCCCCTTTGCTTTATAACTACACTATCCAATACCAGAGCCACTAGCCACATATGGCTATTTCATTACAAGTAAACAAAATTTTGATCTTGGTTTTAGTAGTCACATTTCAAGTGTTCTATAGCAACATATGGCTAGCAGCTATTGTATTAAAAACACAGATACAGAATATTCCTATCATTGCGGGAAATTCTGTTGGATGACCTAACAGAATATCTAAAAAGATAGCTAAGAGTATATTTCCCAGCCTCCCTTGCAGTAGGTGTGGCTACATATCCAGATTCTCCCCAGGAAGGTATGCAAACATTTTAATCTGCCATTTCTTTCTTTGTGTGCCATTTTTTAGATTGAGCTATACATTTTACTCCACTCCTCTTCCCTCCTCCCCCTGCCCCCCTCATGTTCTCAATTTACCCAAGAGATCTTGTCTTTTTTCCTTCCTAGGCGGATCCATGCATATCTCTCTTAGGGTCCTCTTTGCTACCTAGGTTCTCAGAGGTTGTATTAATCTGCCATTTTTAACCCTGATTTTTATATAATAGCTGGCTTTTCTCCTCCATAGCCTGTCTGCTTTTCCACTAGCTAAATGTTCTGGGGATGGTAAGAACCCAGGTTCCAGAGTCACCATATGGAGGAAATCTCCCATTCTCTCCCCCAAATTTTTTCCCTGGGGCTGATACATAATCCAGGAAACAAACAAAAAACCCAGCCTTCTACTGTGTGTGAGCTATTGTATACATCTTAGTCTATTTGTTATAGCAATTTATTCTATTGTAACAAATTCAGTATCACGGCTAGGGTTTGAACCCTGATAGCTAGAGTCTAGAGTCTACATTCTTAGTTACTACACATCTGCCAGAAAGAGCTTCTTAAAAGACAAAACTGATGCTGTCACTCTCTCCCATTGGAAAGTCTAAAAGTTCTTTCAGAAAGAAAACAAAACAAAGTCCAAATTCCCTAATGTTGCTTCATCTGCATTTCAACCCTGCATGCATTTTCACATTTTTGTGTTTTTGCTTGGACCATTTCTGCCTTCAACCTGGAATGCCCTTTCCCTACATCCTCAGCTGATGAAGTATTAGTCATTCTTGGAAATTGGGTTCAAATATACCTTTCTCCATGGACTCAACCTCATCCCTACAGTTAGAATGAATCACTCACTTTCTCAGCGGTTTTCTCATGTTTCCTCGTCAGCAAGCAGGACATTCATTGGTGATGATGGTGTCTTGGTAATGATAGTCATTACTATGCAAGGGTCATGTTTCTTGGGTGTTTGCATATATTAATCCATTCAATTCCCACCATTCCCTTGGAATTGGGCACTGTTATTGGCTCCATTTTGGAGATGGGAAACTGAGCACAAGACAGGCAGTCATTTGGTAGCTCCTAATGTAATAGCTGGGATTGGAGTCCAGACAGGTGAAGAGCACAGGGAGTTTATCTGAACATGCACCACCCCTCCATGAGACAGAAAGCTTGCTGAGGTCAGAGAGCACCTGAGTGCTATTTTGGATCCTCTGCAGTCCAGGTACAGGGAATATGTGAATAGTCATTACCAAAGATTATCATTTGAGCCCATTGCACAAGACCATGAGATGGAGACCTTTTTAGTCTCTGTGACTGGCTGGTTCAAGGAAGCATTCCAGCCCTTTGAGAATCTACTCTACACCTAGAAACCAAGGCTTAGTCTGATCCTTACAATGCTCTAAGCTTCTGATAGGAAGCTCAGCCATGGGTCTATGACCTTCTAGTTCACTATCTGCAGTAGTCCCTAGAATCAGCCAGGAGCCCCAGAAGCTCATTGTTTGTTTGCTTCTTACAGGAGCTAAAAACAAATGGGGAAGGGCTAAGGCTAAAGAGAAACCGTCCCCATCTCCATCTCCAACTGGAGCTTGGTCTAGAAGCTGCAGCTGTCCATGCCTAATCCTCCCCTTCATCTGCTTAGTAGTTTTCAGCCAAATCCAGTCACACTGATGGCAAGCCCGTGTAGCTGGTCAGAGCATCCCAAAAGGCCACTCAAGTCCTAAGAGGCTTCAGGACCCCCAACTCTAGTCCTCTCTTTTCCAGCTGGGTAAGCAGAGTACCCAGCTCCCGAGATCTCTGGGGAGCCCTGGTGTGGGTCAGTGGGCACAACTCGTAGGGTTTCATACAGCTTCCTTTTATTGATGAGGACACTGGGGATTGGAGATAAAAGGTAAATTGCTGGGATTCTTAGAGGCAGACCTCAAACCCAGGTATTTTGGCAGTTGGCTTAATTTTTTTTTTTTTTTTGGTTTTTATGAGACAGGGTTTCTCTGTGTTGTTTTGGAGGCTATCGGTCCAGCCTGGCCTTGAACTCACAGAGATCCGCCTGCCTCTGCCTCCAGAGTGCTGGGATTAAAGGCGTGCGCCACCACTGCCCGGCGGCAGTTGGCTTAAAACACTTTCTCAATCAATCAGAGTTGGATCCTGGTAAGACTATTAACAGCAGGGCTCAGAGAGAAGGGGAAGGATGAAATGTTGAAGGGGAAGGCTCCATAGGACTTCTTTTAGGTGACATGCGGCAGCCAAATGACTATTATGTAGAGGCCACATGTTTGTGGGTTATCCGCATGAGAGTAGGAAGTTGTTGGACTTGCATTTACCAGCAAGATCACCTTGATTTCCTCAGCGTGCTTCTTTACCTGAAGTTGAGGATACCAACTGCAGACATCCTGTTCACCTGGCCCAGAGACTGGCACAGAGTAGCTGATCAAAGAACGCCAATGCCTTTTGTCTCCTACTTTACTAGACACTGCTCACTGGGCAAGCACTTCCTTCATCAGACTCTACAACTGTAGCTATTCAGGTTGCTCTGTCTACTTTTCATAGCAATTAAGAAAGATAAATTACATTAATTGGGATTCCACTTACATTTTATTATCAAGACTAATATTTATGTTTATTACCAGATCTT